ATATATTAATTAATTAAAATTTAAAAAATTAAAATAATTAAAATATAATAACGTATAATTAATATTTAATATAATTAAAATAATTAAAAGTTAATATATTAATTACTAATTAATTAAAATTTAATATATTAATTACTAATTCAATAATTAAACGTATAATTAAAATTTAATATATTAATTACTAATTTAATAATTAAATATTCACACATAAAAATTACGAACTAAAAGCATTTGTCAACATGCATTTATAATGCAAACTACTGAGATAATACGCAGTATGAATTACAAATGCCAAAAATAAATATTTTGCTAATAAAATTAAAGTATATTACCTTTTCTCCTTTTTCTTTCAACGATCAAATTTTAATGAAAATTAAAAAATTGCGATACTTTTCTTTTAGCATTTAATTCTAACATATTTTGATAATTTGTAAATAAAAAAATATAATAATTATCTGATGAGAAGAGCGAAAATTTTTGTTTGATACTATCGTAATTTCAAAATGCTTACAAAATTTTAATTTTCTAATAATTAATTAATTAAAATTTATGAAAACAAATGAATTAATGCAAAATAAAAGGAACTTGAATGGATAAAAAAATGTTGTATTATATATATTTATAACGTATTCCAATCGATTTAATCAATTTAATTGAAATTCAATTAAAATTATATCCATGCATATATTCCAACATATATTCATAAAAATGGTACTTCTATAATATTGAATAATTTCGAATTTAACCATCATTCTGTTAATAAACTAAATTTATTAAGCTAACGCTAGCTGAAAAAAACAAGCTTAATCGAAGCAAAGAAATTATACAACGCTGTAATTTCGTCTTTTTTGATATTCGTTTCAGTTCATTTCGATTAATTAAATTCCATTACGATCTGTAAAAAAAAAATAGGAATTAAATCTTTTTATTTAATCTAATAATTTACTGCTAGGATTAAAATTTGAAATATCCTCAAAATTTAAGCATAAGAGGAAAACAATGGAAAAAAAAGGTATATTTTATTTTTAATAAAATTTTTAAATCTCACCGAGCAAATTATCTTTTTACCGTTATCGTAGCAATTGAACATAAAATTATTTCTGCAAAATATATATATATATATATGATTAATCAAATAATTGTTCAAAATTTATGATTTGATAAAATTTGAATTAATTTTTAAGATCTAATTAAATGTGTTAAAAATAACAAATAATTTCGGTTACGATCTTGAAGTTAAGTTTAAATGATTTGTCACTTGAAATAAAATTCAAATTCTCACTCTTTGAGTAATTAAAACTTTTTTAAAGTTATTAATCATTTGTTTAATCATCATCATTCTTATTTTAATTATAACAATTTCTGCTAGATTTCAACAATCTCGCCAATTATTCTTCCTAATTAGCTCATTTTTGATGAAATGGAAATAATGAAAGAGTAATAATTCAGAATAATTGATCATAATTAAATTGAAATGATTGAAAAAAATCCGAAGCAAATTGAACTTAATGAAGTTAGTTAGCTTACATATTATATTTATTCATTAAACATAACTGATTAATAATACCTGCGACATTCGTCAGAAACCATTTATCGTTCTAAACGACAAATTCGCAACAGAATGTCAAATCATTCTAAAATTCGCATCTGCAACATATATATAATATTTATTCATTAAACATAACTGATTAATAATACCATAACTGATTAATATATATATATATAATCATTATTTAAGGTTGATATTTGTAACGTTATTTTTCTCACTTTTTTTTTGATGAAAAATTGTAGAAAATTTAATAAAAGCAAAATTTATAGTGTATTCATTGGGAAGCAACAAAACATATGTAATCATTGCTTTTGTGATTTTTCAATAAAATTTAATGCTATTATCACATGTTGTTTCTTACATGTAAAATTTTAAAATATAAACAGTAAAGAGATCAAAGATGAAAGAGAAATAATTTCAGTAAAAGAAATTCATCAAAATTGTTTGCAACCGTATAATATGCATTTCATTGATGATTTATATAAAATGTTAAAAATTTCTCGTGTAATTTTAATCAATATCATATTAATTTAATATTGAGCATATAATCTGATTGATATTGAAATTAGCATAAAAGAATGATACTATGACATAGTTATGTTAGATTTGTCACATAATTTATTCCAACGATTAAAATCGTTGGAATAAATTGTAAAGTTTTTAGGAAATTTAAAAAATATTTTTAATATATGATAAAAGTAGCAAAAAAATTTCTTTATCAATCATTTTAGATTATTTCTTTTTTGTTAAATGAATAATATAAGTTTGTATTATCAATATTAAGGATAAAATAAAATAATATTACATATAGCTCATTTATATTAACCGATCTTGGATGTTGAAAATTGGATGTTGAAAATTGTTGCACGAAACAAATGAACGGAATAATCATTTGGTTATTCGGTTGATTTATTTCGAAATTGTATAAATGATTAATGATAAATTATGATTGAGAAAGAATGAGATAAGATAAGATTTAAAAAAGATAAAATAATTTTTTCATAAGTGAAAAAAATTTATTGAATGGTAATAATTCCACAAATATTTTAATTCGAATTATTTGAAATGGATGAAAAAAGACGAAGGTATTGAAGAGAGAAGTGAAATGAAATGGAAATGGAAATGGAAATAAAGGATTGAAATATATCATAAATGTAAGAGAAAGCCGGAAAATTTGCATAAATCTATGGCATAAATCATAAATCAATGATAATAATTAAGTGTTTAAAAGCATTAAATATTACAGAAAATCAGCGCGATACATCATTGAAAATATATTTATTATAAAATGGGAAAGTAGGACGACAGTTTATCATCCAATTTAATTCTATGTAAGCAAATAACTTTTTCTTCTATACCATAAAGTTTTATTTATTCTTTCATTTTGCAACAATCCTTTCATCTTTTAATTTTTATCACTTAATTTATCAGTAGGAAAAAGAGAGGTAGAGAGAGGGAAAAAAGATGCAAAGAGAGAGAGTTAAAAATGCTTTCTTTTCTATTTTCAGAGAGAGAGAGAGAGAGAGAGAAAAAGATGCAAAGAGAGAGTTAAAAATGCTTTCTTTTCTATTTTCAGATAGTGAGGGAAAAAGATGCAAAGAGAGAATAAAAATGCTTTCTTTTCTATTTTCAGAGAGAGAGAGAGAGAGAGAGAGAAAAAGATGCAAAGAGAGAATAAAAATGCTTTCTTTTCTTCTTTTCAATCTCAATTGATTTTTATACTTTGATAAATGATCTCAGGACATTACAGTATGTCTACGATTACGGTATGTCATGAGAAAAAAAAATTACAGTGAGAAAAATTTATTGGTCATAAGTAAATAATAACAAAATGTTCTATATCATATTTCAATTGATTTCCAAAGAGAATAAAAAATTGAAATTCATTATTTATTTATCGGATTATTTGTTTCTTCTTCAATTGTACCATTTTTTTGCTTGCTAAATTACTTAAGAAAATTAGTAATAATTCTAATTGTTTTAATTTCTAATAAATTTTCAGCATTTTTCCTCTTTTTATTTTTAATTTCAAAATAGAATTTTAAAATATTTTGTGCTAAAATTCCTAAATATTTTGTGAAAATTTTCATTTTAATCTAAAATTAAATTACGAAATTTCATTCTAATCTAAAATAAAAAACTCATTCAATTTTAATCTAAAATAAAATTTGATAAAGATCTCGTTGTATAATGCTATTGACAGAAATACTATTTTTTTTCGTATCTATATATATTCACTTAACAGCATATCACATCTTTATATATATATATACTTAACATCACATCATATCTCAAACAAATTTTTTTCTCCAAAACATTAATCAAAATTTTTCCTTTGCTGAAATTCGCATAATGTCGTCAAACTGAAATCTCTTTCAGGAATATAGGATACAATCAAATTGAAGTGGAATCAAATTATTGCATTCAACGTTCAAATGGCCTTCGGACCGCATTTCGAGAGTCTTACGCCGCGTGGAATCATTTTCGAGTGGTTTTCGCACATCTTAAATTTTTGTTAATAATTTGTACATCTAGAATTGGATTAATGTTTGTACATCTAAAAATGAAGTGAGTTCATAGGTATAAGTCTTTTGACGTGTGACATGAAAATATAGCAGGCGCTGGGTATCACTTGCTAATGATAATTGCACAATGATAATGCAATGTATTGTCAGTATGCTTTTTATGGAGCGACTTATTAATGTTGTAAATTTTGTAAATGAGATGTATCGTAAGTTATTAAAAATTGATTTCATATATGTTACTTTTAATGCAGACAGAACACGATCGGACAGTTTATTAGATTTATGCATATCTTGTGGATGGATTATGGTTATATAATTCATTGCATATTTTGCAAATTTTTAGGCCACTTACGCAATGACAGACCCAAATTGGGGTTGGAATGATGATAGTAATTATAGTGGTGGTTATAATACTAACCAACATTGGCAGCAAACGCAAAAACCGTGGAGAAATCAAGGAAGTTATAGGTTAGTCCATATTTAGCCCACGCAAGCTTCCTCTATTAATTTGATATTCAAAGTTTGAAATTGTCTTGGTTAGTTCGTCGTCTTTCTGTTCGTTTCGAAATGAGTGAGTTAATTTTCCAGTTCATATTTTGATCTTGATATTCGAATATTCTTTTGGGATTACTAATTTGAGAGGTTAAAATTGAATATTGCGCATAATATTATCTCTGCAATGTGGTATAGTGTCTTCTCAAATTTTTTTAAAGCAGTTACATTGAATAGATACTAGTACTGGAATTTTTTTGTTGAATTGGAATTGAATTTATGGAGTTTTGATTTTCTTTGCAATATCAATGCTTTTAGCAATCAACCCGCAGCGGCAGTACCGGATACGATTTATAATGAATACTATAATCGTCAAGCAACCGTTTCTCCAGTACCAATGGGAACTAATTCCCAAGCAAATCACATGCAGTCATTCGGAATGGGATCAAGTTAGCCGTTGTTAAGATTATTCACGTTATCTGCTTTTTTTAAATGAATAACTCGAAATCAATTTATTTTGAAACTTGCACACTTGTTTCTCTTTCTTCCATTTAGTCCTTGCTCTTCAAGAAAATGCGATATAAATTTAAAGTACTAAACATTACCTACCGATCAAACCATTATCAACCAAATTTTTGGAAACATATGCAAATATTCTGTAATTCTTTAATGTTGAGCTCAGGTGTTTCAGATTCGTACGGTGTTGGAAATTTACCATCATTTTCTGATCAGTTCATGTCAGACCCGATGTTAAATGCTGCAAGACAAATTGGTAGCAATTTCGCTGTACAGCAGAAGGAAAAGGTATCTTTTTTTATTGCTGAAGATCTCCATAATACATGTAAGTCAGCCAAATATATGACGAAGTTTTCGTGCTTAATTCATTTGACGTTATTAGAATTAAGATCAGACATGAAATGAACTTCCAAAATAATTGAAGGAGAATAATTTTTTGTCAAATCTATTTTATGATAAATTTCAGTTGACCAAGTATTTGTCTGCATTTCATCTGAAATATTATTTTGCTGTGGATAATACATACGTTGGCAAAAAATTGGGTCTTATATTATTTCCTTTCCTGCATCGAGTATGTTTTTTTATTCGTAACAAGTTAATTTATTTGCTTCTAATATGTGATGAAGTGCAGCGTATATTTCTAGGATTGGACGGTCAAGTATGATTCTACTGATTCTCCAGTACCCCCACGATCAGATGTCAATGCACCTGATTTATATATCCCGTTAATGGCTTATGTGACTTATATTCTTATCTCTGGATTTGTATTAGGGACACAAAAGAGGTAAACCTAGTTACTTGACTGCATTGTTTATTTTCATGTACGAAAAACACTTTTTTAAAAATCGTTTTTAGATTTACACCTGAACAGTTGGGCATCATCACAACAAATGCATTAGCGTATCTTATTTTCGAGAACTTGATGATAATAATAACGAGGTATATTATGAACATATCGCAATCGCTCACGTTCTGGCATTCACTTGCCTATAGTAGCTATAAATTCGTTGGGTAAGATTTTCAATTATTCATAATGAAGTGGATTAACTGTTAATAAATTGGATTTTTACAAAATTTAGAACACAAGCTATGGATGCCATTGAATATTATTAGGGAAAGGAAAAAGTACTATATCAATCAAAACAGAAATAGGGAAGTTACTTACCTGCCTGTAGGCGAATCTGGTTGATTCATCGGTTGATTTTTAAATTAACTTAAGACGCAATCGATATTTAAATGAACGTAATTGTTGTTTAAATTTTATTGCATAACTTCTTCAGGATGAATGTCTGCTTGTTGGTTTTTGTGTTAGGTGGTAAATCGGTGTATTACTGGGTTTTAGCTTATATGTCATTTGCAGTTGTTTTCTTTTTGGTATGTTTCATATATTTATTGCTATGAAAAAATTTGTTTCATTTTTCAGCCAGAAATGGATGATATCTTGATTTGAAAAGTTTGAATGAATTTTAAAGAACTTACTGCTCAATATATTTCGTGTTTTCTTTTGAAAAGAATGAGATATAGGACCGAGTCAGTACAAAGGAATAGATTTAATGGCATAAATAAAAATGCAAATAGTTTCTCCCATAGATTTTAAAGAAATTAGTGAGACTGGAATAAAGTTTAGTTTTTTTTTGGATTGAAATTTATTTAGTGATACATTTTTTTGTATCTGGTTCTATTTTTATTTAAGCTACGAACAGTGAAAACATTTTTAATGGATGTACAAAATACGTATAATGAGTATGGTGGTAAAAAGCGTAAAATATATTTGATGCTATTTATAGCATTTACACAGCCATTTCTAATGTGGTGGTTGACCAGGTTTGTTCATAATTTCCATTTTTTTTTCATCATTTTAGGATAAAACTAAAAGACACTTACTTCAAGCAAATATCCGTCAGCTTTCATTTTCATTATCCTATTCTGATTGGGAACAAAGCAATTACACTTACTTAAATGTGTTAGTTTTTGCGCAAATTTTATATGCAAACTCTTTAAATATTTCAATGCTATTACAGTTCTGTGACCAGCTACACACGTGGTAAAATGGATCTAGCCCAGTTTGCTCTGTCGGGTATAGGATTCACTGAAGCAGTGAGCAAAGGACAACTACCATTGTTGCCAAGTGGTGAAGTGGATTATGAAGCATTATTAAAAATGCCTTAACTTTTTGTATTTTGTACACTTGTCGATTTTGTTAGTTTTTAAAATTTTTTCATGAAGCAAAAAAAACTTCAAAAAAGCAATTTGGATGATCATCTTTTCTTGTAATATCATTGATCCTGAGGAGAACTACGAGTTTTTTCGAAAATAGTCAATGGATTTTTTTTTCTTCGGAAATGTTTTGGAAAAGTTCATTTACTGTTTCAAAATTTGAAATAAATTAAGTTAAATTATCACTGTGATAAAGCGTGGAGTAAGAATACTGTTAATACTGTTTGGGAGAGTTGCTCGGTACTATTGTTTACTTTTAGTAACACTGAAAATCTTCCTATATTCTGAATTGATTGATGTTTTTGGTTTTGATGGGAGTTTATTTTTCAGTTCAATTGTGCGTTTTTCTTAAATTTCGATTTTTTGCTATTACTATTGAAAATTTGAATGCAGTAAACTGAAGATTTAGGCTATAGAAGGAAAATGAAGTGGCACATAAGGGAGAAAAAACATTGAAAATGGTGGTTAATATAAACTTCTTTTAATTCAATTTTTAAGCTTTTAGGAAGGTAACTTTTGACTTAGTTGCCCAATATGGTTGAAATTTGCTTTTATCATATGAATGCTGCAAGAATATTCAAGTTCTCAAATTTCACATGGATATTTAAGTTCAGTACTTTAAACTTTCCAATACTTCATTAAGCATTAATTTTCCAATGCGAATTGAGATCTGACTTAATTTTGATTTTTTTGTTGTTTTTGGTCTTTTTAGTACATCGTTTATTGTTATGAGAAGAACGACATGATAAGATGACTTATATTCATTATAGCGTTGTGTATCTTACTGATAACATTTTTTTGCTAATTTCTTATCCTTATTAAATGAAATTTATAATCACATTTATATCGTTGCCATATGATCGAAAGCGGAACGAGTAGTAGACACGCCTTCGTTATACCAATTTTTTGTGATTCCTTCAAGCAATTCCGTGCACATTTATATGTCGGAGCCCAGTAACTAAAAGTTAAATGGATCTACCGGTACGCTGTTCATTAGGTAGATTTAAACCATCTAGTGAATTTACTCTTTGGTCAGGTTGTCATGTTCGATTCTCTGTCGTTTCCAGTGATAAAAAATTGGGTTTACTTTTAGAGTACGTTATATTTTTATTGATGAGACTTACCAATGGACGAGACGGAATCTTATGCGTCTTGTATTATCTGTCAGCTAATGACTGCCCTGTCAGTGTTTGCTATTTTATTCCTTCTTTTATCACTTAATTCGAAATATCTATATTTTATTAAAATGACCGGTATTTACTGTACCATATTACTTAATGCTGTGATCGTATGCTTTGCTTGGCCGTTGTACTTCTTTGGCGATGTATGTTTTTTTCAAGATTTTTTTGACTGATTTTTATCTTTCCTTGCTTCAGAACAAATGGATATTCAAATTTTGATTTATTAAATAACATGTTAAACCTTATTTTTACTCAATTAGAATTAGAATTCTTTCAATCTCTGCAGGTTCCGAAATTTGTTTTCGATTCTTTTAACGCTCTCTCATGGTGGACAAATATAGAAGTTGTTGTGCGAAATAGTGATATCTTGCAAAGACCGGGGCCGTTCATATTTGTATGTAATCATCAGGTATCTTGTGATATTTCGTTACCTAATCTGTTTTGTAGAGGTGCTGTAACGATAGCTTTTTTATAATCGGTTTTGAATATCATTTAATGGAAAATGAATGAAATAGGAAAGACGGTAAGCTCATTTCGCACCTCGTTGTGCTGAAATGTGCATTGTAGCACGCTACAAATTTTTTCCTTTCTTTTTTTGAATGGAAGAGTAAGGCATTGAATTGCTTTTATTAAGATTGGTCCTATCTTATCGGATCAATTTCATAAATCTCTCACACGTTTGTTTTATGATGCAAGTGAAATTAATGCTCGTTTCGGTTCAGCTATTAATTTGTAGAAGTGGACCTGGCTATGCATTGATTTTCTGTTCTTGCTTTTATGAAAAATAAGAAAAAATGTTTTAGAATTTATGCATTCTATAATGCATCTGTAAACATTGTTAGGAAAAGCTTCATTGCAGGAATAATTTTAGATGTATGGTGAACATACGAAATCAGTTAAATATGCTTTACAGAGTTCGATCGATATTGTCGTGTTATCGCATTTTTGGCCTTCAAAATGCACCGTGATGATGAAAAATTCATTGAAATATATACCATTCTTCAATTTTGCAGCAGTGTTGGTAAGATGCTAATGAAAAAATAGGGGAAATGTGCGACAAATATCATACTTGTCATGAGAGTACAGTATATTTATGAGATTCCTCCTCTTCCCATTTAACTGATGTTTTTTAAAAAAAGTAATTGTCTTCATGTAGCTATATATGTTCTTTTATTTCATTATTTCATTTTTATTCGAAGGGAAGAAGAGCATGATGCTTTAAAACAAAAACACTTAAGTGCGTAAAGAATTTTTAAGAGCCGAGCAATATTTGTGGATCGCTTCAATCGAGATAAGGCCATGAAATCGTTAGAAGAGTGCGCAAAGAAGGTTACAGAACAGAAGCTGAGTGTTTTCATATTTCCGGAAGGCACAAGAAATCATGGTGATGGAATGATTGAATTCAAAAAGGGCGCATTCAATTTAGCAACTTTTGTAAATGCTTCATTCTTATTTAGCAAAAAACCATCAACCCAGTGCTTAGCATAAGTACTGTAATTATTTTATCAATAATGACACGCATATTTATGGTCCAATTGATTGTTTATTTTTGTGAGTAAAGAATCTATTAAGGTAGGTCAAAAATCTCCATTGTTGATGACATATTCTTGTAGCTTATGCCGCGACAATGTAAGTAGTTCTGGCATGAGTAAATCACTGCAGTAAAGACATTTGTAATTTGACATATGGATGTTTCAGGCGCAAATACCAATTGTACCAATAGTTATATCTTCTTACAAGCAGTTCTATAATAAGGACATGCGATATATCGCAAATTCAGGCTACGTAATCGCTGAAATTATGGATCCTATACAGACTGCTGGTGTATGTTGTACAATTTTGGCATATAAGTGAACTAACTAGAAATGACTATGTTTTATTATATTAAATGCATGATCCCTTACATTAACATACATTAATATATATATATATATATAGTTTATTCATGATTTCCTTCTTATTTCAGAAGACAATTCAAGATGTCCCTGCATTAGCGGATGCTATTCGTGTTAAAATGATCGATACTTTTTCAAAAATTAGTAAAGAAGCAGCTGAAGAATTTACAAACCGACAAGAAATCACTGATACAAAAAAAATCCGTTAAAGATGGGTGTCTACAAAAAAATTGCAAATATCCATATCGCATTACTTTTATTATTTAACATCTCTTTTGCATATTCCACCTCTAAATACCGGTTTTTTCTGTACATTTCTACTGGTTTATTTTTTCTTATAAGCTTATAAGTTTATTTCTTCTTTTTTATCTTGTGCTGGATTTTTCTATCTAATGCGAATTTTTGATGTCATAATGTAAAGATTTGAGCATTTTTGACTTTTTATTAAAATTGTCTTGTCTTGAGTGTTTTATGTGGTATTATTAATTTTGAAGTCTGTCTTATATATAATTTTGTTTTGCTTCATTTTGTTGATGGCTAATAATAAACACAAATTTTGTATGACATTGAAAGCATCATATATCATTGCACTTAACTCTTTAATTTATTAATCGTTATTTTAATTTTACTCTGTTTTTTTTCTTGACAAGCAAATCGTAATGCTATGCAAGTGCTGATTAAAAAGAAACAATTAATATATTGGGAAAACAATAAGATCAGTTTGCACTTTCACGTTTCAGGAGGTTACTGCCAAGTGGCAATTATAGCAGTTGTAGCTACGGAATGAAGTAATGGGACGTTACTTTATTGTAAAGATAAAGTAACGTCAAAAAAATTTAATTTCATCAGTTGGACAGAAAAAGACCGATATAAAATAAATTTCTTCCTGTCTTGCATGTTTTACACGTGCCAACTGTCATTAAGACGTTCCCAAAATTTAATTCAAACTGTTCAGACATTAATTTGATAATTTTTTGTGACATTTGGTTCAGTGTGGAATGTTATAAAGTTCCAGTGTTATTTAATTTTTACGAATTTTATGATAAATTTTTCGTTTGTATTGCCAGATTTACACCAAACTGTTTGTTAGAAATTTTAAATTGAATATAATTGAATTTGAATAAATGAGATCGAAGTAATTGTTGAAACAAATAAAGTATTAGCAAAAATGGCACGTTCTCCGACATCTTACTCTCATATATTGGGATATTTGACAATATGATCTTCGTCTCATACATAATTCAAATGGATCATTGTCGACGCAAACTGAAAATGAATTAATCAATTTTACGATTAAATTTTTATAAATTACATATAATTCATTGTTTACTAATTATATCATTAATGATATAATTTTATCATTCATTAATTGTTATAAATCAGGATGTGCAATATTATAAAAATAGTATAAATTATTTTGAAAGTTTTATGAAGATCAACATGATTTTTCTTTAGCTTTCAGCAATTGATTAATTAATGAATAATTATTATGCTCAAAGAATAGACATAGATAAGTTTATGATGACATTATTTACAATGATTATAATGATATTGAATAAATATATTTATAACGATCGTGATATTATGATGATGATATTATAGCAACACTCATTTATTATGAATTGATAATATTAATAAGTGAGAAATGTTTGCGATGATATTTAGTAAAATGTTAAATTCATAATAATTACAAAGTTACTTGCCGTTCCTTATTCTGGGAATAATTCTTGGATTAAAACGCCTTCGCAAGATGCTTCGTTGAAAATTTGTCGTTTGTGATAATAATGGAAATATCTGAGGCCTGAGATGTGCTACCGCTACTCTAAAATAAGTGCCATTTTATTATAGGATAATCTCAGCTGCTTGATCATACATTTATTCTTACCTTCTAAAAAATGGAATAAATTAAATCAAATAAATAAATAAAAATTTCGTGCACAATTTAAAACAAATTTAAATTGCATGTTTTAGATCACATTCATTTCCAAATTCTTCTGAAGTTTTTTTTTGAAAGAAAATTTATAATGCAAAAATTTATGATATGTTTTTGAAAATAACCAAATTACTGTTATCATATAAAATGAGAAGTGCGCAAATGAGGAAGAAAAGATGGATTTAATAAAATTAAATTAATGAACATAATAAATTATATAATTAAAAATATTAAAATATATAATTAAAATGAAGAAAAAAATTTTATCAAATCAAATTAATCAAATTAAATTATACAATTAAAAATATTAAAATATATAATTGAAATGAAGAAAAAAATTTTATTAAATCAAATTAATTAAATTAAATTATATAATTAAAAATATTAAAATATATCATTAAAATGACGAAAAAAAAATGGATTTAATAAAATCAAATTAATCTAATTAAATCATATAATTAAAAATATTAAATTATATAATTAAAATGAAGAAAACGAACAAACAAAAAAAAACAAACAAAAAAGCAAGTGTAACAGACCGGTTAAATTTTTGCTGAAATTGATTACTTGGTAAAAGTCGAAAAATACGTTGCAATGGTTGTCCGATCGCTGTAGTTGTCTGTTCGCTTTGTGATGATATTAATGGCTAAATGTAAAAAAAAAGGATGAAAAATATAATTTCGAGAAAATGGGAGAGAAAAACGAATTGCATAATTTTTCTTTCATTATTATATGTATCATTAAGTATAAAAGATTTTTCTAATTTATAATTTTCTATTATGAAAGTTAAAAAAATTATTCTTTCATTATCAATTTACAGGAAAATCTTTTCGATTACTGATTAGTTAGTAATTCCTTTTTCGATTATCAATAATTGAAGTGAATAATTACAATTGGATTTGATATTGACGATTGTTGTTGTTGTTGCGGTGACGGTGTAATCGATGATATTTGTTGAGTAATTTCGGATTGCGTTACTGATGGGAAATTTGGAACAAATGTGGGACGAACTGGTAATACTGCTGTTTGTTGTCTTACTAATGGTTCAGCAACAACAAATTGTGTTGTCGGAATTAATGATGGTGTTAATTTTGGTCTTAATTGATTTGATATATCCACAACCTGAAAATACTAATAAATTATTCGTTTTTACTTAAATGTAATTAAAACATTAATATTAAAACATTAATATAGGAAATAATCTTAATTAATATAATCGTAATTATATATGCTAAAAGTTATCAATTATTTAATTCATTCAATTTCACTAAAATATAATAATTAATTTGTATCAAAAATTTACTTCTTAAATATGAAAATATAATAAGTTAAAATAATTGATAATAGTAAAAAATTAAATGAATCAAACAAAAAAAATGAAAGCAATTGTAATTAATATAATCTTAATTAAATATACAATAGATTATCAATTAGTCAATTCATTTTATACAATACACATACACATACCTTAAGAAAATCCTGAAGCGTTTGAGGTTTTGGCCTATTATCACTATCGTTCCGAATTGCTCTTAATAAATTATGTTGTAAATTATTATCTAATGCATCAAATATTACAAATGTTTCCAGTTTGAATTGATTCGCCTGAAATTCTTAACCATACATATGATCATTTAACATAAAACACACAATTTTAATTAATATATGATAGCATAGAAAGTTTAAAATTTACAAATAATTTTTCAAAAATTATTTGAAAATATTGAAAATATTTTAGTGAAAATTTTTTTCATATTGATATTATTCATGAATATGTGTTTACGTGTGTACGTGTGTATGTACGTGCTACGTGTGTGTACGTGTGTGTGTGCGTGTTTACGTGCATTTGTGCATTTATTGTGTGCACATTAATTGTTTGTTTGTTTATGTTTTGTCGAATAATTTCATCAAATATTTATTTGATATACGTGAAAATACAACAATTCAATTGCAAAAAATAAGTCATTTTTTTGCATATATGATAAGATTATCTCCATGTAATCAATTTACTATATGTATAATTTAGTTGTTCTAAATTTATCCTAAATAATGAAAGTTTATTTAGCAACAATAATTATTTAATTTTTTTTTCTTACCGTTAATTAACAATTACTAATTATTAATTAAATAAAAATTTCCAGGTAAAAGAAATTTTGTTGTGCTTTTGTTTAGAAGAATAATCGACCAATTAGTTTGCTATTAATGCTTAATAATTACTAAACAACGAAATAAATTATTAGTTAATTGGTTTTAATTGTCAAATATATTTTCTCAGTTCAATTTATTTTGTTTGCTTCACGCGTAATTAAATGCAAAAATTTGCAAATTATTTTGCTGAAAAATTAAAATTAAGGAAAGGTAGGAATTCAGTGATTGTTTATGCCCGATCGCTTATTAAATATTTCAATTAATTTGATGCATTTCATTTTAACTGAAATGCTTTTCTTAGAAGTTGCAAATATATTTTATAATTGTTGCATTATAATTTTCATCTCTTCCTTTTCTTCTAATTCTGAATTTAAGCAAATATTTTTATTTTTATTTTCTCTCTTTAAATTTAAACGTTGCAAATTTAAAGCAATTTGTTTTAATAATTGCAATGATGCAATTGCTTTTCTTAGAAGTCGCAAATAGAAGTCGCAAATAAACCAATAAAAAAATTTTATAAATTTTGTTAGTCAAATTTAATATTAATTTTTGTAAATTTGCCAAACTAGTTAATATGTATTCAATGTATAATCTTCTTTCTCCAAATTTTATTTGTTCTGAGAATTTTAATCAAATTTTCATTACATAATATCATTTTATGATAATACTTAAATCGTGATAATACTTAAATCAATCAATGTGATAATAATTAAATCAATCAATGGAAAAAATTTTGAAGAAAACGAAAACAATTTTTATTCATTTGAATTTAAACATTCATAATCATCCATTATAATTATTATTAATTATTCGATTCATTATGTAATTCATTATTCTTTTGTTTTTTGTTCTCTTTGTTTTACTTTTTGGTTATTTGTTTTTTTTTTTTTGTTTTTGAGGGAATGAGAGAAAATCAAAAAGTATAACAAACATTTAGCAAAATGAATTATTTATTTAGACCATATTATCATATTAAATAAGCATAAATTTTTGTCTAAATAACAACTTCTTGCACAAAATGACGAACCGGTGGTGGTGGTGTTATTGGATCCGGTATATAATCTTTAATACCGGTACTTTCTATGCGACATGGTGGTATCGGTATGGATTTGATCGATTTAACCCAAAATTGTTTTTGTGCCTTAACAACAGTTGCCCTATAAATTAGAATGAATTAATATATCAATAACAAAATTATGTCGTATTTGATGAAATAATGTTGAAAAAAAAAGGAAGTGTTGATAAAGTAATGAGAAATCATTGATAAAATGATAAGAAATACACGAAGGATAATTCTTTATCATACGAGTTTTATTTTTAATAATTTATAATTCCAAAAATGTTTTTAATTAATAAATCTATCCAAAGGATTAACATTTAATAGCAATTAATTATTTAATAAATTATAATTCAATTAATCGATTTATACGCTAATATTTAATCAATTAATTATCAATTTTCTAAAAATTTCAGTAAACTTTTAATTAATTATAAAATTAAATCAATTTTTCAATTATTTTTTTTTTTTACTAAACTAAAACAATTAAACTTACACGAATTGTACATAATCATTATCACTCAATTCATTTTTCCACCACAATTTGATCTGTTTCTTCTTTTCATCATGCGAATGTGTTACTGAATTTTTGAAGCGAAAACATTGCTGCTGCCAGGAACCATTATCGTCTAGTCGTAGAAATTGTCCTACTCTTGAAAAATAAAGAAAACGAAAAATTAATTGCAAATTTAATTTAAAATAAATTTTCTAAATTTATTATATTCCTTAAAATACACTATTAAATTTCCTATGGATAATATAATTTTAATTTTAGTAGAAATTTTTATTATTATTATTTTTAAAGCAATTTATTTCTTTTATAATTAGCTAAAAAAATAGCTAAAAAAGTAATAATTTGCTTATTTTTGATTTTAAATCAAATATTTGTTTAAATTATGCAAAAAATAACAATCACCACCAATAACAACAGTTATCAGACTTCGAAATAAAATTGAAAATTTATTTGAAATTTTATTTTTTTCATCATTTAACTACTGACCTTTTACCTTGATTTGGTCCTCTGTAAGAAATTGGTTGAAGAGCAAAACCGCGAAATCGATCAGTACTTGTATTTCCTCTCAAACTTACTGAAGTTATTGTTATCATTATTATTATCATTATTACTAATCCCTATTATTATTGCTATTATTATTGTTATCAATGCAGAAAATAAGTACATTAATAAAAATTTTAATTGTTTAGTCAAAATTACTGTTCCATTTGTTGCATGCAATAATAATTAAATAAAAATTTTGAAACTGAAATAATTATTTAAAACATTTAATTAAGTGATTAGCGAAAAAACGACAGTTACCTGTTTTTCTAAGGAAAAATATTACTAATAATGTTAATTTAATTACACTGATAGTAATATTTAATTAATAGAATTTTATCGTTGAATTCAATTTGTTTAATCAATTGTGCATAATAAAATTCATATCCAAAATTGTAAAGTAATAATTTTGCTTCATAAATATATATAACCAATAATAAATGTTGCCAAAAAATTAAAACAAAACTTTTAATTACTATTTTTAATTACTATATGCTACAATGTTAATAAAAAAAGCATACATTCAATAGGTTGATTTTTCCAATAACACTTTTGCCGAACTGCAATATGATATGGTGGAATAGTAAGCTAAAAGAAAGAAACATAATTTTATAATGAAATTAATAATTATCATATAATTTTTCAAAACAAAGCAACAAAATCAAAATTATTGAATTTTAAAAATTACAATTAAAATTTCAATTAATTTTTTAAATCACTCTGATAATCAGGCAAGCATAAATGTTTTTAATTTCGCACAACTAAAGTTACAAATGTTTTAATTAATTCTGTAACCAGGACCTGCAAACCACCTTGATGCTCAACTGCTTCAAGTGGATTCATGGATTCAAAGACGGCATGAATACAAGGCGCACCATCAGGCCAACTTATCACCAATGTTATCAATGATAACATATTGAATAATACTTGTAAAAAGCGCATTTTCGGATACAAAATCTGCTCTAAAATAAAAGCAAAAAAAAAGTAAATATTAATATAAAGCAAAATTTTCAAGACAATGATTCTATTTTTAGTCATTCACGTAGCAAATATATATTCCACGTAATTTACGTGAAAAATGCTTTAATTCTTTATTACCAAATTTTGCTTAAATTATTTCATTGTTTAAATTTCGAGCGAAAATATAAAAATGAAATTGTTGAAAATTTTATAAATAATCAATAAAACAATGAGTGATTAATCATTCCTTTTTCTTTGAAATTTTAGACAATGTATCTTAATTGGAATTATTATTACGTAATAAAATAAAAATGAAATTCAAACGAAAAAAATCGACTGAAATCAATAAAAGGTGGTAATAATTGTTGAGTGGAAAATTTTTTGGGCAATTGAATTTGAAGAAAATTTCGGCCGGTTTGTTGGGTAAAATGATGCTTGAAAGGTGGATGGTACCCCCATTTCTTAGACATATTACAACTATTGCTATTAGAATCAATTAATTTTTTTTTGTTTGTTTTTTGGTTCTCTTTTAAATTAATTGAAATTTTTCATATTCTTTTTAAAGCATTATATTAGCATTATTTTAAAAAGCATTATATTAGCATTATCTCAAAAAAAAAAGCAATATTTTATTATATTAACTATTAAAATATAATATTATAAATAAAATTTAAATAAAATACTATAAATAAAATTTAAATGAAATACTATAAATAAAAATATTTTGTTAATCTTATCAGAAATGCAAAAATTTTACCTAATGGTTTGTATTGCATAACTGATAATTTTATCAATAAATTATATCTTTGATTGAAAAACTGCTTGAAAATTAATTAAATAATTAAGTAGCTAGGTAGACTATAAATAATGTTTTGCTAATCTTATCAGAAATGTAAAATAATCCCTAATGATTTGTGCTGCATAACTAATAATTTTATCAATAGACTATATTTTGATTAAAAAAATTGCTTGAAAATTAATAAATAATTAAGTAATTAAGAAGAAATTATCTCATCTAAAAATATTTGATGTAATTTTGTTATGAAAATTTTGAGCATATTTGAATTCAATCAAAAATATTAGGAAATTTCGAATTCCATTTCTAAAATCTTAAAAAATTTTGGCTTACTTATTTTGTGTGTATTACTTTTATAATTGATATAAAAGTATTTTAGCGGTAATGTGAAAAAGAAAATTTAAAATATTATCAGTTAATTAAATCCATTAAACATTCAAATTGCTATTTTCATCAATGCTCTTAATATTTACATCTTATAATTAATCATTTATAAACGTGATAATTTGCATTAACAGGATTGTAAAATATTTTTATTAATATTTAAATAAATAAGATATTAAATAAAATCATTTTATTTACACTGATTTAATACCGTTAATTGTTGTTTTTGCTGTTGAAGCAATGAAAAATTTTCAACGCACAAATGATTGATAAGGCATCTTTATGAAATCAAATTTCATGTCTGAGTTCACTTTACACAAATGCTCAAAACCTGAAATGAAATGATTGTTTGCTATTAGTAATCAATTAATGAAATTGTAATAATTATCAAATGAAGCAAAAATGATTGGATGTACTATGTGAAACATTTTCTGTTAATTACATATCGCAGGAAATTAAATCATAAAATATTTTCAATTCTATACCATCGATCAAATATTTTAAATTGTAATATAATTAAGTAAAGGTAAGATTTAAATTCTAATATAATTAAGCAAAAGTAAAACTCAAATATCATCATACATTTTCAAATTTTGTATAATTTCAACAAAGTTTTATTTAATTTACTGGCAAAGATATTTTTTTATCATTTTGTTGCTTATTTATATTCTCATTTACTCTGAACTCATTTCTCGTACAAAATAAAATTAAAACTGCAGGATACATTGAAGTAGAACGGTAAATTTAATTTACAGGTAGAAGAAAACAATGTAATAAATATGAAACTGAAAAGAAAAGTAAGTATTATGGTAATGAAAAAAAGAAAACAAGAAAATTTAAAATGATAGAAAGCTATGATAAAATGTGGATGTGAAGAGTTTTGAAAAAATTTTTTGAATGATATTAATGACAGATTGAAATATTATTTAATACACGAAATACTTACTTCTTCTACCTCATAACACAGCTAAACCATTAAATAATTTCTATTAATTTTAATAAAAGCAAATGAAACCTGAAAAAAAAATGCTTTGTTTTAAACAATTAATAAAAATCGGATTAATTCAAATTGTTTCAGTTTTATTACCATTTTAAAATTTTTAATCATTTTGATTTGTAGTAGAAACAAGTTCTTTTATTTTTTTTCCGTCGACAATTTTGAAAATAAATTTATGATTTCATTCAACATCATTCGTTTTACTAATATCTAATATCCAATACCCATTTAATTAATTTGATAATTTGGACTGATAATTTATTATGGAATTTTCAACTTAGCTTATTGCAAATTTTAATAACAATTTCGTTATATGAAATGAAATGAAATTTTTTTTAATTAATCAACGATTTTTGCTAGAAATTGCCAAAATTTTAGTAATCTAAATTTTTCACGAAATTTAATTAAACTTTTTTTTCAAATTTAACAAAATAAGAATAAATGATTTGTAAACAAATACTTTCCATATTATTCCTGGATAATAAATTATTTACAACTAATATTAATTATTAGTCTAATGCATAATTTCATATCATTAATATTAATCATCGTATAAAATTAACGTTACATTATTAGAAATAACAAAATTATACGAAAGTTTATTAATGAACTTCAATTTTTGAAGTTTCTTTTTGTTAATTTAGATTAGCAGAAATTTTATTTATGATATATTTCAAATTAATTTTACGACTAAATAAAAATATTTTTCAACCAGTTTCATCACAAAAATATTTTCCAACTAGTTCTATCATAAATAAATTATTAATGTTAACTTTTTTTCAGAAACATATAAATTGAATAATCACATATTTTTTTCATTTTCAATTTCTGATAAAAATTAGCAAACATTCAATTATGTATATAAATATGATAATTTAAAGCGCCAATATTAATTATGGATGCAGGTAATTTAATTTTGGAGAAGAAATTTAATTAATTCAAAAAAAAAAAAAATTGACAAATATCTTTAAGCAACTTTTTTTTTTATTTGACAGAAAATTTATACAACGTTATACAACACTTCATTTAATTTCTCTAAATTGATTTGTTTTAACGAAGTAAAGTGTAATTAACGTTAAAGATTGGTTTCCGTTTGTTCATTAATTTTTCTTTCTTTTTTAAAATTTTTTTTTCGCTGAATTTTTTATTCGAAAAAAGCATTGTAAAATTTTCAACAAATTTTCAACAAATCTTCAACATTTTCAACAAAAGCGGAACAAACTTAATAGCACATTGTTAAAAATTAATTTCGATACTAAAATAAACAAATTCTATTGTTAAAAATTAATTTCGATACTAAAAAAAATAAAAATAATTAATTTTTATTTGTATTATATAAGAAATTAAATTTCTTATAGTTTACATATTATTATTAAAATAATTTCTATTAAAAAAGTCGAAAATTGTTATTTTTATTTTATCAAAGTTTATTAAAACACCAATTTTACTATAAATAAACTTTTATTATGAATTCCGTTAGTAATTTCTAATAAAATATTTTTAAATATAAATTAATTTTCTTCTTTTCGTTCTTATTTAAACAATCATTTCTAACAATTAACAAAAATTCCTCTCAAAAAATTATTTCTAATTAACAAATATAAATTAAAATTCAACATTTCGAAAAACAAAAATTAAATAATTTAAAATATCCCCTTTTTTAGAAATATAATTTTCCCTAATAATTTAAATTTTTCGCAAAATTGAAAGCAATTCCAAATGATTCATCTTTGATCTAATTAACATGAAAGCTATTTTTTGCGGTCATTCTTTCATCTTTCAAACGTGAAAGCAATTCTGACTATTAAATTGAACTTTAACCTAAATAAGAAGGAAAACGAAAAAGAATTTATCAGTGCTGTTAAATAATTATTCAATAATGTATGATTCATTGCAAATTAAGTAAGTTATGGAATGAGATTTGAATTTTAAAAAGATTTTAGACTTTGTGAAACCCTTTAAATTCAAATAGTTTTAAAACTTTCACAGCAATGATGAGAATACTATCAAAGAAATCATCAAAAGAAATATTGCCAAAGTAATATTAAACTTGTAATTCTTTTTGTTGAATAAATATTAATTAGTTAAAAAGGTAAACAAAAGCTAATGAAATTGCCTCCACATTATACTTACAATATTTAATAGTTCTACAATTTTAATATTTCAATAGCTTAGCTATTATTCCTAATGCTAATTAATTATTAGTGTTAATAATTGGAAGTTTAAGAGCTCAATGGTTTTAATATTTCTTTATAAATATTTATAATATTCAATAGTTTTTATATAATTTTAATAATATCAGTAGATTAATTGACAATTAAAAATCGCAGTTAATTGTTTTCATTAATAAATAATAGTATAAGAGATTAGTGATTTCAATGTTTAACTTTTCAGTATTGTTGAAATCACTAATTATCATTAATACTAATCAAATTTACATTTTTCCATTGGTATATTTTATAAAACAAAAAAAAAGAATGAAGTGGAATGTATCGAATAAATTTGCATGCATGCATAATAACGAATGATATCTTACTTTCTTCGATATCAGTGATAAGATCTATGATTCGTCCAAGTTTTCATCATGTTGCATCGTCCATCATAAAGAAGTTATCAGTATTCCATGAAAAGAAGAAAAAATTAATTAACGAAATATAAATACGAAATATAATTTAAATACGAAATATAATTTAACAATATTCAAATTAACGTAACCGATTGTCAATTTCCAATTTAATTTCCAATAATTGCATTCTTTTTTTTCCTTCAAAAATATACACATTATATTTCGTATTTTTTTCATTATTAGTAAAAGAATTTGCTAATTATTAATTAATTCATTTTCTTTTAAATTTTTATTTCCAATTTTTAAATTATGCAAATATTCGAAATAAATTATAGAAAGAATGATATACTTATTTACATATTTATCTAATCTTCTTTTCTTGCTAAATTAAGTACATTAATTTTTGAATAAGATATTAGATTGATATTAAATGAAAGAATAAATTATAGAAAGATTGAGGTGAAAATATTATAAAATTAAAATATTAAATGGTTTGATCAGTTCTGATCGAAAATTGTCTCTTTGTTGTTTGAAAGAGTGAATGAATCGGTTTCAATATGACAACATTGAAGACTTGTTTAGATGCATTCTGTGAATTTAATTAAATTAGGATAAAAACTTGTTAGGAGATGATCATATCAATGATTATGTGATAGAAATGAAATGAAATTATATTTAAAAATTAATCAATAAAATCATTGAAGATGTAACAAAATATTACAGAAATATTTTACGATCATCAATGATATCACTAATTTATCACTTAAAGGCATTCTTTCTTTTCTTGCTATAACTTTCTTAACTTTTATTTGCTAATCACTAATTGTATTTTATTATTCAACTTTTTGAAATTTTTTTAAATGTAGCATTGATTTATTGATACCAACCTTTATACTACTCTGTTGTAGTCATTTAATTGCTACAATAAAATAAATATTTAGGTCAAATTTTACGGTAAACAGTAATATCCAAATTAAATTTAATAGGCGCATTATTTTCCTCAACTAAAATTTCCCTCATTCGTTAGTAATATTTAAATTAAATTTCTTGCACAAATATCATTCTTATAATCAACAAAAATTCCAATTCCTAAAATGCTTTTTTTTTTACTTAATTATAATTAATGTTAATTGATACAATGAAGTATTTGCATAAATGCTTACATTGTTTTATATTTAATTACTTTTCGTTATTTACTTTGTATAATTATTTCTATGCAAATAATTTCATTTCATTTTTATGAATAAATTTTGGGTAGAAAAAAATTTATAAAAAAAGGAAAATTTTTGGGTGAAAAAGTTGTTGTTCTAATTACTCTTTGTTAATTACATTTGAATGATAATAATATATTATATTCGAATAATTATATAAGTAAATACATTAATGATTAAACTATGCAAAAAAATTAAACTAAACTAAACAATTATCTGAAATCTTTTAGATTATACTTTACAGTAAGTTTCAAACAAATTTTGAATTCATTTAAGAAAATAAATGATGAAAAATTTTTTGCACAAATAAATTTTGACACTTTTCTACGACTATTATTCTTTTTTTATAAATTTAGGAATAAACGTGAAATGTCAAACGTTTATCCGTTTCCTAATTTTATATCAATTCCTGAACCATCTAAACCTATAATGTTAAGCATTTATAGCTTACATTGTTTTATATCAATTCCTGAGCCATCTAAACCTATAACGTTAGGCATTTATAGCTTACATTGTTTTATATCAATTCCTAAATCAATTCTTATATCTTTTGTAAATTATTCGTATATCATTTCCAAATCTCTGTTGAATATTTTATTGTTAGACATTATTTGTGTTTGAAAAAATTTGATGAAACACTGTGGAAACTATTAATTTAACGCAATTTTCTCTTTTTGTTTTTATAATATAATTAGAAAAAGTTTTTTAATTTCCTATTTATTATATAAAGAATTATAAAACGATATTTTAACATTATAATTAACATTTTATCATTATAACATAAGCTGAAATATTTTGTAGATAATTCTCTAAAATTATCATTATTTACTCTCTTAGCCATACGTATCATTTGATAACTTTATTTATCATTTATGTTGAAAATTTGATCAATTAAATCTTACACTTCAATTTGTTGAAATGTTGTAAATGAAATGAAAAATGTGAATGATATTAATTTGCATATTATAAAATATCGTTTTCAAAATTAAAGTATACAAATACATAAATGTAAAATGAACGGTTTTTGCGAAAATGGGATAGTATACGAGCAAATAATTGCATATGCAAATTAATTGCGATATGATTTTATAAGTGATTATGTTCTATTGGCTCACCATTTTTGTCTTGCGTATGCTCACATTTTTTACTTCTCCTTATTTTTTATATGTAAAATATTCTTTCTTATATTGTCACCTTTTACGTAAATCTTTCACGTCTTTCACGTATGTCTTTCACCTCACTATTCTTACATATTTTTGCGTATCTAATGATATCACGTATGACAGATGACATTTTACTGATATTACGTATGACAGATGACGTTTTAATGATATCACGTATGATGGATGGCATTTTAGTGATATCACGTATGACGGATGAAATTTTACTGATATTACGTATGACGCATAATGTTTTAGTACAATGTATTTTTGCTTGAATGTATAATTTATGCATAATATATGTTTACTATTAGGATGTATTTATTTAAACGTATCGAAGAATTTTTTCTAAAAAAATGGATACAGTATTTTGCTAATATTTTTTGTTTAATAAATAAGAAAATTCATTATTAAGAAATTAAAATGACATAAATACTTAATAAGTAAAGAATCAAAAGAAAATTATAGAATAAATCGATTACTAATTAATTTAATTTCTATTTTTATTAAACAAATAATTGGTTCTTTTTTTTGCTTTTTAATTGAATTACTTAAAAATTAATATTTAAAAAATTTTAATCCAAAAATTTTGCATAAAATAACAATTAACAATGTACTAACAATATAATATACTTTAAAAGTTAACAATATACTTTAAAATTTTAACAATGTACTTTACAAAGTAAGCAAATTTTATATGAAGTTTGCTTATTTTCTTTACTTGATAAGTTCAAATTAATTATGTTAATTATTATTTCAGCTTCGACAACGTTAAAACAACGAATCAAACGTGATGAATGGTGAACAAAATGATAATCCGGCGCATTGTTCCCTCATTACATTCATAAAGAAGGGTTATGATGTTATCAAACGATTCGTTATCAGAAAATCAATCCAATTAAATGATGATAATGCTATTCCGGTAGCATCTGATCGTGATATTCCTGTCATAGCTGATGGTAATATTCCTGATATATGTGATAATAATGTAATCATTGAATAATTTACAGCGAGAAATTATATTTAAATCAATAGCAAGTAAATCATGATTATTATTAACAATACATCATTCATTTCTAATTTAGTTAATAATTTATGTTTAGTTAGGAATATTTCTGATATGCTAATTTATTATTAATGTATATTGTTTTCAATTTATTTGCTATTCAAATTTTTAAACCTTCAAAAATTTAGATTGTAAAATGAAATTTATCAAGCTTACATATTATTTCCCAGATTATTTTCCTTTCTTTTTATTTTAAAGTCAGCAAAAAATGAATTATTGTTTAGATTCAGATTTGTTAAGCAGTGTTGAATCCCAACAGGATTTCTTATTTGATATCCGATCAGGACCAATAAATTTCTCGTCACAACTTCTCAATCAGGAGGAAAACGATAGTAAAATGATAGTAATATCGGATACGGAAATAGGTTTGCATTACCAATTTCTTAAGACAATTTTGCAAATTATACTTTTAGACATTTAGCAACTATTTAGATGTTACCTAAACAATGCGAAATGTTTGACGATGATAAATGAAGTATGACAAATCATTATGTTTGGCTATAAAATTTTTATATTGAAATGACGAAAAAGAAAGATAAAATTTAGAGATGATGAAATAGCGATGTTAATATCATTACGGTAATGCTAATATTTTGCACTAAATTTTCATGCTAATTAATAATAATAAATATTAGTAGCAATAATAGTTAATAATAACAATAATTAATAACTAATAATAATAATACAATAGTAATAATTAATAATAACTAATAATAAATAATAATATTATTAATAAATAATAAATAGTAATAGTAATAATGATAATGACAATAAATAATAGAATCTTTGTACGTGGAAAGCCTAATAATAATGATAATGACAACAACAATAACCATTGTAAAACAAAATAAGATATGCTTGCTGCATGGAAAGAATTTCTTAGTAAGGCAAATCAGCATAAGATTAATACGAATAGAGGTTATGATAAGATAGGATGAGATAAGAGTGATAGGTAGGATCGATTAAATGAGGTGGAATTGATGTAAATGATTTTATTATAATAAAGTGAAGTGTACTAAAACTAATAAAGGTAACAATAAGATAAAATACAACAATACTAATGATATTGATATTAAGATAAAATTATTGCAAATGATAATATGATATGATTAATAAAAATTCTGCTGACATAAAACTATTATCAATATAATTAATATCAAATTAATAGTGTTTTAATTCATAATTATCGTTATTTTTCATTGTTGATTTTATTCACATGCTATCATTGTTTAAATATTCAAACAATTAAAAGTTAGAAAACCTTTCAAATCATATTTCATATATCATGCAAAATTATTATACTCTTTTCTAAATTATTTAAAACAAATAAGATAAATAAAAATTTTGAATTTAAATTAACACTGATAAGATAAGAGAGTGATAAATCAAAGTTCAATTTGTGTTACAATCACTAAAAATTAGCATTTCTACCATTTTTTCTTCATAGATTTTATTTCATTTGATAATTAGCAGCTGTTAGCTATTTCTCATACAAATTGTAAACGTTTTTTTTCTGGATTCTTTTGTTTTTTTTCCGGATTTCCGCTGATTATTTTTACATTTACATTCCTTTTATTTTTTTCTTCTTTCTTCTCTCTCTCTCTCTCTCTCTCTTCTTCTATTTCTCTCAATTGGTTTTCTTTTTAAAGTTCGTTTTTACGTCCGTTTTTTTGAATATTAAGAAAGAAAGCAATTTTTCTCCTTTTCCGTTTTTTTATGGGATACGGAGAGGAAGGCAGGATTTCACAATAGTATCCGTTTTTTTCAACATGCTTTATGGGATACGGAGAGGAAGGAAGATAGGATTTTACATAAAAGTATGATAAGATAAATTAAAAAAAAAAAAAATAATGATAATTTAAAAAATTTTAATTCACAAAATATTTGCATGCATAAATTGTCAAATTTTTTTTATTAAAAAATTCCTATTTTTTTAAATTTTAATTTGTGGTAAATTTTTGGGATGAATTTTGCATGGCACTTGGTATTTTTCATCAAATAATGATGTTAGCTATTGTGGTTGAAAATTAGTAAAAATTAATTCAAGGTAAAATTTGAAAGAAATATAATTAAATGATAAAATTAGAAATGGATTAATTAATCTGTCATAGAAACCACATCAACGAATATTATCATCTTGTAGCAAAAAAAAGGAACAGGAAATTAATTCATAATCGAATTTATAATGAATAATTTATGAGAGAATCATAATTATTGCATTGAAATAATGAAAAATATCAATAAGATTTATTGATGATTACTATTAAGAAATGATAATTCATAATAAAATACACAATGAATTATTTGCTATAGAAAAAAGAATATGATATTGAAGATAAAGATGAATGATTGTAGCAAAATATTATGATATTAATTACGATGATATTAATAATATTGTTGAAAATGTGATGATGATGATAATGATAACAGTAATACCAATCATGCAATAAATTATCAAAGAAATTATATGAAGTTTGAACAGCTACATCTCGAAAAAGAATTAGTTGTCAATAGTATGAGGTGTGTAATATATGTTTTGGCGATAAACAAAAAATTAAAATGAAGCAGTTTTAAAAACTTTTTGAATTTTTATCAACGATCACTTATCATCATTAACATTATCATTGCCGATCATTTTTATATATCAGTAAAATTATCGTTATCACATTATTACTATCATTCTTTATTATCATTTCTCATTTTTTCGTCTTATTATTAGCTGTAAAATAATTTCATGTAACTTAGAAATATTTTTAATCAATGAAACAAAAATTGAAAGAAACGAAGTATTTCATTTTGGATCAAATTTTACTGAGTAATAATTACACTGATTAATTGCTCTATAAATTTTCTCAATTAATTATCGTTAGTTAATGATAATTGCTTTAAACAAAACGACAACTTTTCTTCAAACAATTCACAATCAATGAATAAAGACAATATGATTGTGGGAAATTTATGTGTGAATATATTCCAATGATATGATTGACATTCATTTATTCATTTCTTGCTCTTCTTATTTTCGAATTTATTTTTATTTGATTATTTGAGAGTGAGAGGAAAGAAAATGAAATCTCAGAATATGTTAATGTTGTAGTTGATCATTTTATTATTTATCATTTATCAGCGGAATATATTTTATTCTCTTATCAGCTTATCTTATCATTTCATCAATGTTTCTTTCTTTTTTTGCAGTATGAAATGTTGCGACGGGTATTTTTTGATTTATCATTTATAAAGTTGCATGATAAGATTATTAGCTTTTTCGTTAATCGACTGTATCATCAGCCCTTTTTTTTCGTAACCATATTCGAGTGCGCAATTAATTATTAATTTTTCCATTTGACGTATCATCAAATTTTCAATTAGTTTTTCGTTGCTACCATATTAGGCCGTACAGTAATATTCGAATGCGCAATTAATTATTAATTTTTCCATTTGACGTATCATTAAATTTTCAATTAGCTTTTCGTTCCTACCGTATTAGACACACAGTAATTCAATGTTTTGTCTACTGTATTTACCGTTTCCTCAGCACATTAGGTTATACGGTAATTGATGTATACAACTGTATTAATTAGTTTTTTCGTTATCGCATTAAATTTTGTGCAGCAAAATAATAATTTTTTATTTTTATTTGCCGTATCATACGTTTTTTTTTCCTAGGTTATACGGTAAATTATTAATTTTCCTCACTTATCGTATGCAATATTACAGAAAGCTACGAAACGAAATAAACTTAATAACTTAATATCGATATTCGATCATTTTGAGAATAACTAAATTAATTCTTATGAATGCTAATTTTTTTTTTAAAGAAATTAAACTTCGCTGTTTTCACTGAAACTTTTTCTAATGTAAGTAACAAATGATTTCGAAGTTTTCGTATGATAAGAATTGTTTAAAGTAATTCTATCAGTGTTATCAATGAAATTTAAATCCATCTTTCTTCCCAATTCATTCTCATTTTCACTTCACATTTTTCTTCTTACGTTTTTGTTTTGTTTTGCATCGATTTTTTCTTTTGTTGAATGATTGCAAGAAAAATTGCATGCAAAAATTTATTTATAAACTTTTAAAATAAATACATTTCAATCGATAGAACAATTACATGAAATGAATTCAATTAATCGATTGTTAATTATTTTTTTTTTGTTCTTTATATTTCTGATGATGATGATAAGTGATAATGGATAGCGAAACTTTTCACCATTTATCATCATACTTTATCATTTCTTTTCAAATTTCATCCTCTATTCTTTTCATTCTGTTTCATTTTTGCTTTGAAATAAAATATGTTGCTAACATAACAAATGCTTTTTTACATATAAAATTTTGAATTGATTTTTCTTTTTTTGCAAAATCAATATTAATGAATATCTTCCATGTTGTATGTTTGTTTTGCTTCAAATTTTACTTACTGCATATTATCTTTTATTTATTTACATTAGCATAATCTGTCATCGTATTCATAGGCTGTCTCAAAGTTTGAATAATTAGCATGTTATGTAGTAATTTTAGGCTTTGTAATTATGTATAAAAAACAATGATATTTCCATAAATTTTAAATAATTCCAAATTAAAATTATATATTTTTTTTTTTTAATAAAAAGAAGATTAGATATTTATTGACAGCTAATGCAATAATTTTTTTTCCTCATTTTGTAAAAACATTAAATTATCATGAATTTTAGCACAATTTAAAATTTAGTACATGAAATTTTCAATTGCTTCAGAATTTTGATACAATATTGAATTTAACGATCCGATATCGTTTCACTTTTAAAGTGATGAAGTGAAATTGATTTCTTCATCATATATGTATTACATATATATATGAAATTAAAAGCATAGCTAGTTTTTGTTTTTCTCTACTTTTTAATTTATGAAATTTTCGATGTTTAATTATTGCTCCACACATCTGTCAATTAACATATTTCAACCTGTAATGAAATTATATCGAAGCGTTAAATTCAAAATTCAATTTATAGTTTCAAATACATTTTTTTTTTCTTTTCCAATCGTACGCGTTTATTGCATTTTGGTTGACACCATTTTTGACGAAAATTTCTTCCAGTATCGGATTATTTGAAAAATTATGAATTCATTAGCACCAAAAATTATAGGTTTAGCCATAATCGAATATTATGCTTATGAGGAAAATTTCGTTTTGATTTGTTCTTTTCTTTAAAAAATTTCCATTTTTAAAAATTTACGACGTTTATTAGGCACTAATTTTATTATGTAATTAGTATTACTAATTACTATTACTCATTATTAGTATTGCTTAATTAGTATTATTATTTTTTGTAATACTTACTGTGCTAATTTCAGAACAAACGCTTATATTTCCTATTATTATAATTCTGACAAAATACGATTATGAAAGAAACAAGGGATTAATTCAATCATTGAATTTAATATTTTTGCATTCATGCGTAGTTGTCTGGAACTTAATAGGATGTTTTCAAAAAGAAATTTGAAAAATCCGAAGCAAAAACAACAACAGCTGCAACAGCATCATCACAATCACGACAATCATCAACTGCAGCAACAACAACAAGACAAACAACAAGAGCTCCAACAACAACAGCAAGAAAGGCAACAACGACAAGAGTACCAACAACAAAATCATCATCATTATCATCAACAACTTCAACAAACTGAACAGCAGCAACAACAATCATCAGAAACGAGAAAAGAGGAAATTAATATTAATTCAAGACAAATCAGTGAAAGTCTGATAGTTCGTGCAACTACACCTATAAGTCGACGATTACGATGCACTGTTACTCGACCTTTCCTATCAGCTGAACCACGACCATATCATTCGAAAGGTCATCACAGATGTTACTCTGATGATACTTTTTATCTCTCTACACCGAAAAATTTCACTGAAAATGGCCCAATAACAATGGATACTTCAATCGATCGAACAATAACTACTGATCGTTTGAATAATATTGACAAAAATTCATCATCAATATTTGCGAAATCTCAGCAAAAAGTTAAGAAATGCGGTGTTTCCAACAAACAAACACATTTATTGCCACCATTAATTATAAATGATAAAGGTATGCTTTGATAGTAGTAGATTTATTGAGTTGTAGAGTTATTAAGTTCCAAAAAATTTCCACAGTAATTATTTTATCTAATTTTATATTTTAATATGATGTTCAGTTAATTGATTATTACTTTTTTATGGTAATTTTATTGATGAAATATTTTTGCTAATTAAAAATGCAAATGATTTATTTACTAAATTCAGCGATTAATTATTTTCCACTCAAACTTATTTATTCAGTACTTTCTTGAAGCATAGTAAATAATTAACTTGTTTTCATTTACCGTATCTAATTACTTTTTAATAATTTAAAAAATTTTTTTTTTCAATTCTTATTTAAAATTGTGTTAATAGACTAATTCTTTTGTCGTAATTTTCTTTAATTAATTTAAATTTTGAGGTAAACTCTTTGTTTTTCTTCAATTCTTTGCATTTATTAGTACCTGTCATTGCTTCCTCTTATCATTAGCTTAATTTCTTAGTAATTACAGTGGTACCAATTTATTAATTAATTCAATAACTGTTATTATATCTTTTAAATATTGGACGCTTATTTGTTCAGTATTTTCCTAAAGAACGGTAAATAATTAACTTGTTTTATTTCCGTATCCAATTTTTAACTTACTGTGTACAGTAGTTCATCAGATACAGACATATCGCATTATACAGTAAATTAAATTAGATAAGATTTTAATGTATGAGATATTTTCAATTTCTAACGATATAAATTATATTTCAATTATATTTTAGATAATCAAATTGCACCACTCAATAATGGTTGGTGAAAAAGTAAATGAACAGAAATTATTATCTTTAGTACTTTAATTAAAACCATTGAAAGGATGATAAGATAATTAGTACTGAAAATTATGCTGAAACACTTTTATATTATTTAATTAATTATATTAATGAAATTTAAAATAGAAAGTTGTCAGGTAAATGCTACATTAGTTCCAAACATCATTTTCATTAATTTTGATGACATGAATTATAGAAATGCATTATTGACAAAGAGAAATGAATAATAAATGAATTTATTAGAAGGATGATATAATTTAGGTTAAATATCACATTGAAATACTTTATTATTGTTGAGGTAATCAATTAATTAATTAAATAAATTGGTGCAAATTAGATGACAGATTATAAATTCATAAATTAAGGCTACATTAATCTGTAATTTATAACATATCCATTTTTATTAACTCATATAAAAAGTAACGAATTTTTTTCATATATAAAATATTAGTAAAGCCATTCATATTTTTATAATTAATTACCAATTATAATAATTAAGCATAGATTGTGAATGAATTAAAATTGCAAATTAATGTAAATTTTTAAAAACAATAGCAATAGACATAATGGCTATTTATTCGGTTCTTTTTAAAATAATTATACATTTGCGAAAATAAATAAAACAAATACTCATTCATTCATTTCTTCAAATATTTTAATTTATAATCGTTGAATGGAAAATGCAGAAGTTAGAAGTGATAATTAATTTTAATTAAAACATTAAGTAAATAAATTCAAATTTTAGTTAGTGCAAAGAAAAACAGAAAGAAAATATTTCATTTAAAATATTTATCATTCATTTATTTATTTCTCTTACAAAAATCATAATTCTAAAATTATATTAAAATTCAATTTAAGCCTTTAAATTTTTTGTCTTTAAATTTAGAAATAATAATTTGAAGACAAAAAGTTTGCAATTAATTTATCTTTTAGTTTCTTTTATTGTTGGAAATAATTAATCATTTGAATTATTGATTTTTTTTTCAAAATAATTTAACAATATAATAGCTAAGGTTATTCGATATCATTTTAGATTAGATGATTAATTTTAAATACTTTATTAATTAATTAGATATCGTAATTGGGAAATAAAAAATTATCCTTTATAAATTATTCGAATTTTTGGAAGGTAAATAGTTTGAGAGCAAAATGAATGACATTAAACCAAGTATGGGAAAAAATGAAGCTAAGGTTATTTAATTATTGAGTAATAAATTACTGGAATTGAATTGTAGTAATGATTATTGCGGTGAAAAAAAGATATGAAGTACTGCAATTAGGATAATTATTAGCTGCAAGAATTTTTAACTTCGGTCTAAATGCAGCAATTAATATAATTATTAGCTGCAAGAATTTTTAGCTTAAGTCTAAATCTTATGATTAAACAATTAAGCAAAAGAAATGCTTTGTTTCTTTTATAAGAGCTAGAGGTGAAAGGTTAAGTAGTAACATTAACACTATAATAAATAAACAAAAATATGGTTAAAAAGTTAAACAAAAGAAATGCTTTGTTTCATTTATAAGAGCTAGAGGTGAAAGGTTAAGTAGTAACATTATCACAATTATAAATAAACAAAAACAAACAAAATAAAGATACAAAAGCTAAAACTATCGATCGCTGCGAATTTTTAGTTTCAAAAAAAATTCTGTAAACAATTTTAATAATTTATTTTTGAAATATTTCATTTCAAAGAATTTGCTATTTTAGGATTCATTCCATTACAATTCTTCGTCCTATTCATTTTCATTTTAATTTTTGTATAATTTCATTTTAGAAAAAGTCTGAAAAAGAAGGAATGCATGAAAATGTCGAAAAATATTTATTTTCTATTATCATCTGTAATAAATCAATTTATGCATTATGCAAATATCATAGAAAATTTTCTTTAATACTAAAATTTTTTTTCTTTTTCTTTTAAATTAATTTCTTTTAATTTTACTTTGAAATTTATTGCCAAATGAAATCGCTTTTTTTTTTGCAAAAATAAACAAATTTGAAAAATAAACAAAAATAAAATAAACAAAAATAAAATAAACAAATTTGGAAAATAAACAAAAATAAAATGGACAAATTTGGAAAATAAACAAAAATAAAATAAACAAATTTGAATATTTATTCCCTTTATTATTAGCAATTCAACAAAACAATTTTATCGTTTGCATTTTTATTGGAAATTATGAAAGTTCGATTTTGTCTATTTGTGATTACATGTTGTGATTATCTCACTATTATAGTGATAATGCTACAACGGATTATATTCTGATCAAATTCGTTTATTTTCATAATTTGCCATCGTCGTCGATAAATTATCGTATTTTTTCAACAAAAATTTTTCTTTGTTGAAAATGAAAATATTAAAAAATTTTGCCACTACTTCAGTTGCATTATAAGAAAATTCTTGAGTGATACTTGTTAATTAATTTTGAATCTCGCAATTAAAAATAATTAAAATTAATTTTCATTTTAATTATTACTTATTTCATTATCTTTATTTAGTTACCGCCATCATTTAATTATTTGGTAGCTCCATTATGTGTAAATCCAATCATATACTTGATCGAATTACATTTAAATGTTCCAAAATGCATTTAGGTATGTTTGAATTAATTGCATTTGTAACAAAATTAAATTAACCTAATTTGATTATATCATTATTGATTATATTAGGTCAATTGTTCACAATCAAATTACATTTAATCGAATTACATTTGAACTCATTCCATTAAAATATAACGAAATTAATTGAATTTGAACATATGAATTGAATTTGCAGAATATACACATTAAATGGAAATCAATTATATTATTTAATCGAATGTATACGTTTATATAATCAATTATATAATTATATATATTATATATATTATTTAATCGAAATGTTTGCGGAATGTATATGCTAAATGGAAATCAATTATATTTAATTGAATTACATTCCATTAAATTATAATGAAATTAACTAAATTTACATATAACAGAATTATGTTAGAGTTAATTGAATTTGCGGGAATTTACACGTTAAATGGAAATCAGTTATATTTAATCGAATTATGTTTGAATTCATTCCATTAAAATATAATGAAATGAATTTGAATATAACAGAATGATATTAAAGTAAATTGAATTTGTAGAATATATCGAACAATATGTATACGTTAAGTGGAAATGTTAATGTATGCTATTAACGATAAAATGATAGCAAATCATATTAGGTCATCTTTATTTCGTTACTGTCATTTAAATTTGAATTTTGTTTAATAGAATAGGACAGTAAGGGAATAGCAATATCCACCTTGAATTATTATGGTGAATTTGACCTGAATTTAATTTTAAACTTAATACAATTATTTCAATAGTTTGTATAGAAATTATGCTAAACTTTTGAATCATTTAAAATTTATGTTAATTTAATTTTTTGATATTATTGTAGCGAAGAATTTATTCGTATTATTTTGCATTTAATTATAATTTATAGCATTAATTTATGATAAATGAATAATTATTTAGAAATTTTATAAAAGCAATTAATTTTAGGATAATTAATGAATGAAATAAATGATTAATAGACAATATTGTGTTATACTAAATCATTATCAAATCATATTATCATTAAATTCACTTATCATTATACTAATTTATTTAATACGATTTAGCATTTTATTACATATTATATTATTATATGATATCATCGTATGAAAAGCTTGTTTTCTTTTGTTTTGAATTTCTGTTTATTTAATTGATAAAATATATATCATAAATAGCATTTACCTGACTTCATCCGTTTCTAATTTAAATAGGAAAAAATGGTTCTTTATTATAGTAATTGTTTTTTATAATTAATTTGAAAATAATTAATGAATAGAATAGAATAATTTTTTTTTTATTAATTGGAATATTTAAATGAAATTTAGTAATGAAAAATTGATATTTTTTAATCAAAAAAATATTAATTTTTTAATTACTAAGTCTCATTTAAAAGTTCCAATTAACAATTACATCTTTCCATTACTTTTTCAAATTAAATTTTTTAAAATTAATTTAATTAATTTGATTATTTTATTATTAATCTTGTCAGTAAGTAATGAAAAGATTAATACTTTTTATTTCATTAAACAAATATTAAGTAATCAAATACAATTATATTTAGTAATACAATTAATTACAATTGTATTTCATTATTTTAGATGGTAAAATAATTAATAGCTAAAAATTTTATAAAATTAATTTGCAATAATAATTTAAATTAATCATTGATTATAAATGAGAAATCAATAAATGTTTATTTCGAAAATACTACTAACGTTGTTTATAGCAATAATTATACCAACCGTATGATAGCTATAATTATAAATAATCATTAATCGATCAATCGAATTTTAACATTCCAATATATCGAATTTCCTTTTTTTCCTTTTCATCTATTTTCATCTCATCAAAACAATCAATACTTTCAAATTTTCTTTTTCTCACTTTTCCTCTTCATTTTCTATTATTTTTTCAATTTTTCCTACAACCATTTTTATCGATTCAAAATTCATTCAATTCTTTTATCCTCTTCCTTATCTCTCTTATCCTCTTTATTTATCCTATATTCTTTCCATTTTGACATTCTCTTTAATATCTCCAATCATTTCAATGTTATTTTTATTATACCATTATATATCACTTATCGTTTATACAATACAAAATGATGGCCTGATTATTATCAAAATTTGGAAATTGAATTACTTGACCTCTTTTACTCTTTCATTCTTTCATCCATCAATTTCTCGCTCTCCCTCTCTCTCTCTCTCTCTCTCTCTCTTTCTTCTTTTATCTCATTATTTTTCATCATCTATCCTTTTCTTTTTCCACAATTTCTAAAAAAAGAGAATAAAAGGAGAGTGAAAGAAAAAGAGAAAGAAAAATAATAGACAGAGAGTGAGAGAAAATGGGAGGGAAAAAAAAAAGGCGAATTTTGTTCAATTTGGCTGGCAATATTATTTATGTTTGCAAATTATGGACAATTTTAGGTTGACATTTTATTTTTAGAATTACAATTTGCTATTAAAATAAATAAATTTTGTACGAAATATTTTGCTTTTTGAAGAAAATTAAAGAAAAAAAATAAATTTCTCAAAAAATTTGAAATAAAAATTTTAGGATAAAATTTTGAGAGAATTTAAATATAGAAATGATCGATTCAAATACGATCATCTCATCTCCTCCCACTAAAATATAAAAGCGGTTCATTTGAAACATCTGTTTATTTGACTTTTATTCATTTCCCTCTCCACCTCTTCCTCTTCTTAAATCAAAAAAATTCTCCCTCTCTCTCTCTCTCTCCTTCTCTCTCTCTCTCTCTGTGTGTGTGTTTTTTTGTTCTTTTATCTTAATTTTTCGTATTCTCAGTGAATGTTGTGCTCATCTTGGCTTGGTGCCGCATTAAATAATGGTAAGTTTTAATTTTAATTTTTGTTCTTTTAATTAAAAAAATTTTAATTGAAATTTGAAAATAGTTTTTTTTTTCTCATCAAAAATGATTTATTTTAATTTTGGGGAAAAAAAAATTCATTATTTTAATATTTCTTTTAATTATTTAAATAAATGCAATTATTGAATGGTATGAATTATTTGATAAATGAAACGAACTATTTTTATGATTTATTAATAATTGCTTATTATAAATTTATTATTATGCAATCCCAATTAATATTATAAATTACTTAATGATAATTTGCTCATTTAAAAATTGAACGAATTATTTAATTATGAAAATTTTTTACGATTAATTTTTATGATTAATTATTTCTTTGTTTGGAAATTTCCATTTTATTTAATTTTTGATAATTCTTATGAAATTACGAAATAATTATATTAATATTAGTGATTTTTTTGTTGGAAATTTCTAAGCGAATATTTTATATGAATTTTTCGAAAATTAAATTAAAAATATTTAACTTAAAAAGCATTAAATTTAAAATATATTAAAAATATTTATATTGAACAATTTCATAAGTGGTTAGTTTTTGTTGGTCGATAATACTAATTAAATAATTAGTGAGAAGATGTATATCTGAACGATTTCATAACTATTTAATTATGAAATTTTTTGAAATGAATTTAAATATAACGTAGTTCTACGTAACATTTTTAATGATCCAATTAATTACAAATTTTCAAATACAGTATATTTAGACAGTATTTTAATATTTTAGTTAATTTACAAATTTCCGAATAAATGTTTAAATACGAATTTTATTCAAATATTTTTTAATGATCCGGAGTAAATAATATATGAATATCACTGTGATAACATTTGAATTTCGTTTTTTTTTTACTTATCAATTCTTTAATAGTATTAATTGATACTAAGCTGATTAAACAATTTAATTAGTTCGTGAAACAAACATCGATTGATGATTCATTAAATATCTTAACTACTCGATAAAAGAGATTAATTAACATAGAATCAGCTAATGAAAGATTAATTAATATAGAAACAGTTAATGATAGATTAATTAACATAGGATCAGTTAATGATCGATTAATTAAATATTCCAATATTATTATTGTATTTCGATAAACCAATTTGCAACAATTTCATTCAGTCAAACAAGAGAAACCTGAACCGGTTTGATATCGGAATTATATGTCTCTTCCTTTCTTGATCTCTTTTATAATGATAAAAGATTTATAGGAAAATAGTTAGTATAGTTAACATTTCAAATTATTTCTTCGCTCGTACGTTTTTTGCTATCTGAAAGAATTAAATTTATAAAATTTATGAAATTTGTTAATTTATTTTTTTTGTTTAAAAAAGTGAAATTATTAAAATTACAATTAATAATGAATTGTTTATTCAATTTTACCATTGTTGTTTCCTCTTCTGAAATAATAATATTATCAGTGAAAATTGGTGATAATTATATGAAAAAGAGGAAAATTAATCGTATCGATCTACAAGTAAATTGAAATTTCAAACTATTGTTTCAATATTTTAATAATAAACTGTAAATGTTGTATAGTTAAAAGAAAGAAAGAAAAACAAAAATTATACGTTCAATAATTATTTGCAATAAAAGTTATTAAATGAAATTTTAAAGACAAAACAAGTTTAAATCCTTAATTAATGATAAACTAAAATAATTATAATTAAAAGAGATAAATTAATTGCAATAAAATTATTCGTTAAGTTAAATTTTAAAAATGAACTAAATTTAGTCCTATGATTAAATTTCAATTTCTCGTTTTTTTTTTTTTTTTGTAAATAATTTTCATTTCAAGTACGATTTCGTCGACGTGAAAATGAAAATGTCAAGGAGGAACTGAAATTTGGAATGTCTTCACGATGTCTTTCCACTCCTCATTCATTGAATCGAAATACGCCATCTACCTATAAAACTAATCAATTTACTGATATGCATTCTTCCACCTCATATATTGATGGTTTACCGGAGCCTAATTTATCAAGTAAGTATTTATACTTCTTTTTTCGCCCTAAAAATTAATTGTTTTTTTAAAATAATTAATTGCTAGTATATTGATTGTAATTTCTTTGTTACAATATCAATATTTTATAATTTACCGATCTTAATAAATAGTCTTTTTCCGGATAAATTATTGTATTATATTCAATTTTAACAAGAAAATCAATATTATATTCTTCTCTATTATTGCTATATTGTTGTATATTATTATCTCTATATTGCTACATTTTTATTTTAACCTTTCCATCATTCTTTCAATTTACGAATTATAATTTGAGCAATTTACAGATTATTCCTTTTTGAAATAGGAATGAATGTGAATTTCCATATTTCGATGATATTGAGAGTTATTTAAATTTGAATTTTTGCTCCATTTTTTTGTGGTATTTTCCCGTGACCCAGAAAACATAATTTTTGAAATCGAATTTATCGCAAAATATCAGTCAAAAAGAAAGAGCATTAATATTAATGCTAATAATTCTCATCTGCTTCTTCCTGTTTTTCATTTAATATATATATATATATAATTTGAATTATTTATAACTTCTAAACTATTAGTACCTTTTGATAATTAGAAAGCTAACAATATTTCCTCAGCACCTAGCACTCTTATATGATAATCTATTTAATTTAGCAGATAACATTTCGATTAAATTACTAATTCTACATGAAAAGATTTTCCTCTAATTCTTTCGACTTAAAGAGTGAAAACAAAAAAGGAAAATGATGGATAATAAATGTTGCTCTTCCATAAATTTTTCTTCAAAGTTTATCTTCCTTTTCTGCATATGTCCTAATATTTAGGTCGTAGTCGAACAGCTGTTGTTGGTCCTAATACGGTACATGGAAGTCGAGAAGGTTCACCGTATGATTATCGTTCAGCTAATGAAGAAGGTATGATTTTTTTCATTTGTTTCAAAATCAAAAGAAAACATTTTGTTTTGTTTTAATTTAAACGGAATTTGATTAGTGATGAAATAAAAGTTTTGAAAGCTTTCCATAGTAGAAAAAATTTTTAATTTCTATCTTAAATATTAATCTTCTTTTAAAAAGAAAAAAAGCAATGATTTTGTAGTTTTAATAATTTCTCAATGAATTTAAAAAAGGCAAAGAGAGAGAGAGAGAGAGAGAGAATCTTATATTTATTTAAAGGGAAAAGAAAACCACATTTAAATTATTTTAAAGTAAACTGTATTTTCTGTTTTATTAATGTGATGTATATTTTTGTCAGTTTCATGTTAGATATAAACACTAAATTACAGCAATAGTTAAACTGTCGAAAATCTTTTAAACATAATTTAAAATGGGTAGTATAATTATACTGTTTTTAAAATAATCAATTTACTATGCTTACTTATATTCCCGTTATATATATACATATATGAATTACACCACGTATATATATATATATGTGGTGTAATTTTTCTTTATTTGCCCGTTATTATATGTTATTCATATCTCCGTTGAAATTTTTTCAATCATAAAATATTAAAGAAGAAAGACTACTTCAAGATTTTAATATGTAAAAAATAGTGTATTTCAACAAGATGCAAAAAAAGCATGAGAAACTAAATAGATATTATATATTTTCAAAATATCAATATTATGCTATAATTTTGCACTAAAATAATTATATTTAATTTTTGAATTAGCAAAGCTTTCTTTTTTATGTACCATATATTTCAGGTGATGTGCTAGCATATTACAGTAGTGATATTACACGAGCGTATACATCACCTCCTACACCGATATCACGATATGATTGTGGTGATCCACCACCTTACTATAGCCATAGACGAAATACTCAACCGGAAGATGGTATTATTTTTATCGTTTGTTATTTTTGAGCTAATATAAAATTAAAAATTCATAATTTATCAAATATCTGTTCAATTATTATTATGAGAATTATTAAGTCGTTGATATATATGCACAAGAAATGAATAATTTAAATAAAATTCTTCCTTCTGAAGAGTTTTGACAAAATGAGAAAAGTTTTTCTTCTAGAATGATCCTGATGACTATTGTCATTTTATGGATTACTTCTTATTTCTCTTTCTATTTCCTTCTATTTCTTCTTCATGCATTGTTTTATATTATATAAATAATTCTTCGAAGTATTTCTTGAATTTTTTGTTTTTTGATTACGAAATTATATTACTGAAAGATATTTCAGAACTCTCATCTTCTTGTCGAAATTAAATTTTCTAAGCATTGAAAATTTTGTCTGAAAATTATAAAATGTTGATTACATTCATTGTTGTGTTGTTAGATTGTTTGAAGTTAAAAGGCCAATTTTAATTTTCATTTTGTCAAATTGCATATTGCAAATTTTTCCTTCTCTAAATTTCATTGAAATATAAAATATTTAAAATTAGATGATAAAAGGAGAGGGAGAGCATTAATGGTGTAAAATTTCTTATAAAAAGTATCAAAAAAATTAAATTTCTTCTCTCTCCCTGTATTTAATTTTAAAATATTCTTAAAGACAAATTTTCTCTTCTTACTCTCATTCTTTTTTTCTCTTTGTTTCCTGCAATCACTCAATTAAATTTCATTTCTTTGGTTTCATCAATTTAAATGTTTTATGTGATATGGGAATTTTTTCAGCTATATTTTTCAAATTATTTATTGAATAATTTCAGGCTTTCATCCATTTTACAGCAAATTTTTTATTATGCATAATTTATTGAATGAATAATTTTTCAAGAGATTCATTTATATAAAAATTATCGAATTATTACCAATTTCTTTCATGAAATGAAATACGGTAAAAAGAAACGATTAAAGAGTAGAAAGAAGAAAAAGGAATGTTTTCAAGAAAACAAATGATTAATTTAACTAATCGATCTTACTATTTTAATACCTTACATCTTTCTTTTTCCTCTCTTTCCCTCTCTCTCTCTCTCTCTCTCTCTCTCTCTCTCTCTTTCTAATTGTTCATTACTCATTTTGATTAGTAAGAATTATTTATTTCAAGAAAAAAAGGTTAATATTGTTGAAATGACAGAACGATTAAATGTAATAATGGTGGGAATGGATAGAATAAATGAATAAAAGATAAAATGCAACGATGTTGAAAGTAATTAATTATGATCCAAATTAGATTAACGGAAGAAGAATTTGACTAAAATTATTTAATATAATATTTCGGTTGCTGTTAATAACCAATATTCTGAATTCGAATGCAATTATTTCATCTCATAATAGATTGATTAAATCTGAGAGTATTTTAAAATTTTCATCAAAAAATAAGCGAACATATTATTTACAATGTGATGGTGGGATAATTTAATTTGTTAATAAATTTTTAGGATAATTTAATATTTTTAGCATTTTGCAATTAATTTTTGTTGTTTTCTGCATAGTTTCACATTTATATTAGTTCTAAATAAGAGTAGAATAGAAATTTAATTATTGAATTTTTATATTTTACTAAATATATAATTTCCCTTTTCTTTTTCACTATATTAGAAGTATTTTCATTTAATTCATGATAAATGATATGAATAATTTATTCTTATCTCTTCTAAAAATCATTGACATCGATAAAATTGTGTGGAGGTTATTGTCATCATAGTTATCTCGAATATTTGCAATGGATTTATCATCGATCTCATCGAATAGTTTATTTATCAATGTTTATATTTTCGTTTATTAAATTTTCAAATTTCTATTTCAATCAAGTTTATAAAAATTATTTTAGAATTTTTCTTGATGAGAAATTTTTATTTATTGAAAGGAAATTCTCTGAATAATTATTGCGGTAAGGATGAAAGAAATGAGATATTATATTATCAAATGAAAAAATAGAATTAACTGCGAACTAATGAAATTTAAGTAATTCATCAAATGTAAAAAAGGGCAATCGTGCACAACTGTTCACATAACTTTGTAGCGTGGAGTATCAATGCAGACAGCAATAACAATAACACTAATTATAGCAGTAATTAAATTTAATAAATAGCAATAATATTTTTGTGAATTAAAATTAAAATATAGTAATGGTGATAGCAGCAGAAGCAATATTGATTAGCGATTTCAGATAATAAAGAATTAAATGATAAGAAGTGATAATAGATAATGAAACGAACTGTATATTAATTTTGCAATATTAGCATTTGATAATGATAGCGCGATAATTGTTGGTTAATTATATTCGATATCAGTTGTCGTTATATAAATGTTATAATATTGGTTTGTATAGTTAGTTATATTTCGGAACTGTAAATTAATATTGTTTTCATTATCAGGAATATATAATATATGCTAATTGATATTGCAAACATAGGAAAATACAAATTTAATTTTAATTTAAATATAATTTCACTCTACTTTTTAATAATTTATCATATTTCATTTTAGGTCTATCAATTTTCGCTTTAAAATTAATTTTGAAATTGAAATTGTATTTTTATGTTTTGTTTTGTTTTGTTTTTATTGTCTAATTTAATTTTTTTTCCCATTTTTCGCCCAATTTGATTAAAATTAATGATAAGAATGAGAAGAAAATGTTACTTTAATGTAACATTGTTTACATTCTAATTTCATTGCATGCATCAGTAAACAACAACAACAGCAACAACAACAACAACAACATCCAAATGTGTTAATCGTTAATTGTACTTCTTTCATAAATTATTAAATTGAAATTCTCAATTACTTACATTCATCCATTGCAATTTTATCAATTTTTTTTCGCAATTAATTTTTATTTTATTTAATTAATTAATTTTAGAATTCATTATAACAGTTTTATGGAATTAGTTCGTATATTATCCAATTAATTAATTTCATAATTGATTCTATCAGTTTTTTAGGATTAATTCGTATATTATTTAATTAACTATTTTTAATTAATTTTCATTCTCTCAGTTTTTCTTCTGAATCAATTCTTATATTATTCAATTAATTTTAGGATTCATTCTATTATTATAATCAATGAATCAGCTGGAATGGTTAGCTTTATAAAAGAAAGGATGAAATAGGATTGAAGAAGGATGAAGATGAGAACATGAATTTCATTATCTTCTGTACTCCTTTTCACTTCATTCCTCTTCTTCCTCCTCTTCTTCCTATCGATCCTTTTAGTCATAAATGCAATCATACACTTTCACCACACTCATCTCATATATTTATATTTTTCCATTCTTTCTGTTAGAGATGATTGTTGATGACAACTGCTTTAGTAAAAGAAAGAAAGAGAAAGAGAGAGAGAGAGAGAGAATGATTTTTGAATTATTCTTGAAATCAGGCGAAAAATGCATTTTAGACAATTAGTAGGAGCTTGAAGCATGCCCTAATCCAATAAGGCTCCGTTGCCTAATTTACTCCCTTATCTGACGAATTTTCATCGTTTATATACGCATATAACATATATGTTCCATTATTATTTTGCAATTCTCTTTTTCTTCTTTTTTCCTTTAAAAGCCTTATTTACATTTCAATGATTGTTATTGTTGTTGCTACTATCTTAGTCGGCTCTTTTATATAACCTTCGTTTTATTTTAGTGTTAGTTTACTTCCAAGAGATTTTATGGATCAAATAGAATAAACATTTCTATTCTATTCATTACCATTATATTATTGTTGTTAGAATTTTTTCCTTCCAATAATAATTTATCAGGAAATGTTGAAAATATGAAATTATTTTGCGAAATTTATAGCTTTTTCTTTAATACCAAAATATTGTTGTATTTTTATTTTTAAATATGAAATTTTAATTTTTTAATTTACAAGATTATGAGAATGTTTAGGTAGGAAAATCTAATTTAATTTTAATATAATATAAATTTGTTTTTGTTAATTGATTTAATTTATGTAATTATTGTTATTGTTTTTAGAATTAATTTTTTTTTTTGTAATATTTCAGTCTATTTTGAAATAATTCTTTGAATAATTTTTATAATGCGTATATTTTATTTCATAATCTTAAATTAAATTCTAACCTACAATAATCTAATCGTAAATGTTCGATCATATTAACTAGTCAATTATATAGAATGAATTGAACGATTTCCATTAAAAAATTTTTAATTCTATTATTGTTTCATTTTTTTTTTCTTCATTTATCATTTAAAATTTAATATTTAATTTTATAATTATTGAATTAATTTTGGGTATTTTAAGATCAGATTTATCGTTACTTTTTTTTTTCAGGTTTGGCATATCCATTCTCTTCAACACCCTTATCACGTAGTCCACGTTGTAAATTTTTACAAGGTAATTCAACAACAGATTGTTCTATGTTACCTCATCCTAATCGACCACGTGATTTACGAATTACGCCAGCATCATCATCATCAGTAATGCGTACAACGGATAATACTGGTAATAATATAACATCAAAACATACTACCGGCATGTTTTCTACGTTAGTTTATAATGTTATTAATTTATTTTATAGTTTTCTTTTTGATTGTTAAAAAAGAAATGAAGAGTAAATTATTTGATTATAAAATGATAATCTTTTTAAATCCTTCATCTTTTCATCTTTGTTTTATATCAAATAATTTGATTATATATAATAAAAAGAAATATTTGCTTTTGTGATTAATTTTTTAATTATACCAAATTATAACTTTATAATGATATTAATTATTCCATTCTTCATTTACATACCTATCATTAATTTTTCTTTCTCTTTCTTTTCTTGTTATTGTAAAATTGTTAGCAGTATTAAAATGTAAGGTAGTGGGTGTTCTTTTCAAATTATATCTATCAATCATTATTTGTTTTTTTCTTTCTCTCTCTCTCTCTCTCTCTCTCTTTCTTCCCTTTCTTTCAACACATAATTTAAGTGTATTTTTTTTGAAGTAAATATATTTCTTTTAAATTTTACTTTTTCATTCTTCTATTAGTTTCCACATTTATTATTATTTAGTTTAGTTTAGAAACAAATAGGATGTTTATATTTTTCTTTTTTTAAAAAAAGTTCTGAAATTATTTTTCCTTTTGTTTTTCATTATTATTTCACCTTTTCCTTTCTCATTTTCATTTCAAATGAATGAAGGAAATGAATGAAAAAGATTGCAAATTCAACGAAATGATTTTACATTAAAAAAGTTATTTACCAAATATATATTTTATACATTCAAATAAATAATGAAAAGATTTTTTAAATTTCCTAAAAAAATTTTTTAACTTTTAAATTGTTAATTTTTATTGATCATATTCTGAAATAATTGTTGTTAGCTGTTGAATTAGCATATAAAGAAGAAATGTATATTTAGCATATATGATTCATCGTATTTTCTTCCTTCTTACACTTTATCATTGTTTAGCTCTGACCATTAAGCTGACCATTGCTGGCTATCAACTATTAATACTTATTTTACTATTGATCATTGTTATCATCATCATCATATTGGTTCTTTTCTTCATTTGACCTTTTCACAACTGATCGTTCTCTATCATTAACTTATCTCCCTTTTTTTTCTTCATTCATTTCTTTCCTTTTCATTTCACTTCACTTCATGTTAACCTTTAATATATAAACTGAAATATGGAAATGTTCTGTTCAGCCGAAATTATCAATACTTTAGATTTATTGATTGTTTATTGATTGATTTATTGATTTAAAATAGTGCGATATTTTTTTTTATAGTAATTGAAATTTTAATAAATTTTCTATTGAATTTAATTTAATTGTTCGCTTTTATATATATTTTTATACATACTTTTATATTTTGTAGTTCGTTTCGTGTGCATGGTACATCGGGAAATACAACACCTGCTAACGGTGGTGGTCCGAGTACGTCAGTAGTAGTCGATGAAATGGTACCAATTAATTCGGCAAAAAATTCCCGAAAGGTAAAATAAAACATTCTAAGATATAATTTCATCAAATCGTTATCATAATTCGATATATTGTCGAAAATGAACTTCAGAACTGAAGGAAACAACTATTATCGTTCGCTACAATTTGATTGATTTATTAATTTTTTTGTTTTTTGAAGTATCTAAGAATATAGTAGGTGATAAGATTTTAGAATAACGTTTTAATGGATATAAGCTTGTTGAAATAAAAAATGTGTGATAAGTTGAAGTTATTTTTGTTGTTCGAGGTAAAATATCATTTTGACATTTTTTAAATTTTTAGTTCTCTTTTTTTTCACAAATCACCCGGGGAGAATTGTCTAATTGGAAATTGAGAAGCTCATCTTAGTAAATCCATCGACAACTGTCATCTATTTTCATTTCATTTGAATTATTCATTTTTTTCAAATAAATATTCAAGGAAATGCCGTGCTCTATCCATGTCTTTCTTTCTCTGCTACATATCTTTTAGATATCTTTTTAGGATTTAAATTTGGAATAATTCTGCTGAAGCATTGCTGAAAAAGAGCGTTATATGTGTTATGGTAGATGTTTATATATATTGATAAATAAAATTGGTAAATCTATATTTAAAGAAAAGTTGCAAAGCTCAAAAAAGTGTAATTGAGTTATTTACCAATTTAACTATATTTATAAAATGTTTAACAAATGTATATAAGCTTCCGGGCTTTACGTCATTATCCCCTATATATACTTTATATCAAACTATATAAGCAAAATATTGATCTTTGTATTAATACTTTTCAATCTTAGATAAATTTTAGAGTATCATTACAAAAGTAAGGTGAATTTAATGAACCATTATCAGTAATTGTATCATGTATGTGTGTTATAGTAACATTGATAAAATTACGATTATTTTCCTACTAATCTTTTTTCATAAATAAAATTGACCAAGCGAATATGGCCTTTCTAAGTGAAAAAATTTTTGTGTTCAAAAATTCATTTCAAAATATATTATTAATACAGTGAAAAAGTTTTGCACATGCTTATTCGGTAAATGAGTACCATTGATATTTTAGATGATGGTAGCACCACAGCCGCAAAATTCACATCATCGAGAACGCAATGATTCCAGTTGCAAAAGTTCAAATCACACGTAATTGTTTTCGTAATTATTTTCGTAATTATTTTTCGTAATATTTTTCGTAATTATTTACGTAATTTTTTTATTCGCTAATTTGAAAAAAATTAATTATGAAATTGAAAAATCAAATTAAATTGGTGTTTTTTCAATGTAACTTCAAGTGTATATTATTACTATTTTGATTTTACCCATCAATAAGTCTACAATTCATGGTTTTAAAATACAATTAAATTTTATTTATTTTAGCCAACAGCGACGACAAAGTATGAATGCGTTAATACCTGCATATCATGTCTCATCATATGCTGATAACTGGCGATTTCGAGATCGTGATAGTTCATCAAATGATCAGCAAATAGCAGGTAAGTATTTCAAATATATTTGAATAGAAATATTCGGAATTAGTTCCATTTGATTTAAATTAATTCCATATTATTCTTAAATTCATCTTCTATTTCGTATCTCAACAAATTTTTTGAATTTTACCACTTAATTTTGTTCCCATATATTTTGCTGTGTTCCGTCATGTAATACTTCATATTGCATTTAGCACAATATATCAAATTTTCGTAGAATAGTTCAGCTGTTTCGTCCTTATAAAATTATATTCAATTCTGATATGTAGTTGATGACCGTCGTACGAAAAATAATAACGATATGCGGGTGGCAGTCTTAGAGCAACGTGTACGAGAATTAGAAGCTGCAGTCATTCCAGGTCAAGTACAGTCAATGCCCTTACCTTCAACTTCCTTCATCATTCCTGTCGTAGGTTCCAAAAGTGGGTTCTTTTTACGAGTACAAATATTTTTCATTGAAGTTTTCAATTTCCCAACTTTAATTAATATTTTATTGAGAATAATTAATTTTTGTAATAGCTTAATGTTTTTTTCCATCCATACATTAATGAAAATAGATAAATGTTTTCAAATCGTTCTCGAACAGTTCTTATTTCATTTTTAGTGATTTGATCTTGATAAAGTAAATCCGATTGATTTCCTTACAGATTCATCACGTATTCTTCGTTCTGCTTCTGGTCAGTTTATAGTTTCGGCTGCAACAACGCCAGTAACCCAGCAACTTATGGCTCAGGAAGTTGTCGATAAAGAAATTGAAGTAGAAAGGTAAGAAGATAAAATTGTTAATTTTTCAGGAAACATTTGTTCTTTTTTGATGGATAATACATGTTTTCTTTGAACTTCCACTAACGTATACGTTTTTAATTCATTTTTTTTACTCTTTTCGGTTTGAATACATTCATTTAGTAATCCGATAGAATTTATTTCATTTTTATTCGATATTTAAGATTGCAATCACAATTACGCAAATGTTATTCACGAATGGAATTACGCCAAGTACAATACGACGAAGAAGTTTGTTTATAGCTTTTCATATCTTTTTGATGAATTAATAAGTATTTTTTGTTTGTTTGTTTTTTCGTTGAAATTCTTCTATGTTGTGATCTTTGATCTCCTAAATTGATTTTGGTAATTCTTTTTTGCGCAACTTCGTGAATGTTTGTCATATTTGTTTTTATTTCCTCTCTTGTAACTTGTCTCTTCACCAATAACTTCTCCCTTCATCGGTTAAATTCAATTTTATTATTGAAATTAAAATAATTATTTCAGGTGAATGCATTTCGTCGTGAATCTGAAGAAGCTAAATTGCAATTAACGAAAGTGAAAGGTCGATTAAGTGAATTGGAAAAAGAATGTATTGCATATCGTGAAAAAGCAATGGCTGTTGATGCTAATCGTAACAGTACTGTTGCATCATCCTTAGAAAAGATCGCTGCGCAGGTATTCTACTCTTTCCGTTAAAAATTTACAATAAAAGAAATGAAAAAGATCAGTTGTAATGATAAAGGCGATGAATAGTGAATGATAAGATAATAATAATGCTGACCATTACGCCATCTTCATAAAATATCATTCGTGATAAGTATATATTTCCAAGTACGGAGATGACATTTTTCGTTAGTAAGTACTGAGTAGATGTGATGGAAATTTCTGAATATTTTCCATATAATAATTTCATGTGTAATTATTGGAAGAAATAAAGGAATAAGTTGAAATAAAATGATATATTTATTACCAAATATCTTATAATTTCATTGCAGGAGCGAGAAATTGCAATGCTAAGAAACGATTTGGAACGATATATGCAAATGGTGAAAAATTCGGAACGAATAAGGAAGGAATATGAATTTTTGGAGTTACAAAATGAAGCGTTAAATGCAAAACTTGATTCGAAAGAATCTGTCATTCGAGATCTTGAAGATAATATTCGAGTTAGTTTTTCTTTCGTTCCACTGTTTTCTTTTTGTTTATATTCAGTTACGAAAAAATTTCCCTTATTTGATATTATGGAAGAATTAGAGTTTGAGCTAACCATTTTCATTTCCTGACATTATGTAATTATTTTGATTTTTCTTTTAAAGATTCTTCAAATTTTTGAATTTCTTCAAAAAAACCGATGAAAAGAATGAAAATTTATGGTACAGAAAGCAATTATGAAAAAGTATCCACAAAAAAAAATGGTCGTTTTAATTTTTATTTTTAAAATTAAAACGAGAAATTTGATGAGATTTGTCAGTATTGTTTATAGACATTGAAAATGGACATATCTCGTAAAATGGAAAGTGGTTCGGTGACACCTAAAGCGGATGTTTTACCCTTGTTCGATGTTGAACCTGCGAAATTTCTCGGGAATTCAAAAGAATCTAAGGTACGGGAAACGGTATTTTTCTAATATCCTGTTATTTGCAATATTGACTTTAATTTGATGGAAGGAAGTTCCATAGTCTGAAGATTTTAAGCTTATAGCAAAATTTCAGTGCTTTGTTTTGCTTGTTTTAAAACGCGGAAAATGTTTTTTAATTTATCTTTAATAATATATAAGAATATCTCAAATTTTTCTTGCGGGAAATAGAAACTTAAGAAATATTAGCATTTGGTAATTAAAGTAAAAAGAGTAATTCGATTTTTCTTGGAGCCGAAAGTATCATTAATTTTATGATTCTCATAATGGTGAATCATCAATTATTGTCATTAGCTTAGCGATCAAATATTTTAAGAATGTTCTAATAGACTTGCTCCTATCTGTTTCCACCCGAGAGTTAATAAAATATTAATAACTAGTAATTACTGATAGTAATTGATTATTATCATTAATAATTAATTTTATCATTAATTGATAGTTATAATTATTATTATTATTATTATTATTATTATTATTATTATTATTATATTATTATTATTATTATTATTATTATAAAATCATTATTATTGTTACAAAATGATTATTGTTTTTAGTTATTCTTATTATTTTTTTATTGTTTGAATAGTTGATCAAACATGTTTAACTGTTATTTTTTTTAATGCTTGATTTTAGGATTAAACTTTGAAAATTTGAAGTAATATTCGAATTATTTCTAAACTTTGTCTAAATTTTGTTAATTTTCGGTGTTATTGTCATTATAGAGCGGCGATCGGTTCTCATTTTCATCACCATCAGTAGCAGGAGTGGTGGATGGTTTACGATCATCAAAAAAAGTCGCAAAATCGTCATCTGTAATATTATCCGATTCGGACACTGATGATAAGCTACAACTTTCCGCATCAACATCGAAATTAATCCGAATGCAGTTAAATACAACCTTGGAATGTCGATTATTGGCAAAATGTTTGAAGGATGTAGCTTCGAAAGCAATTAGCGGTGATGCACCGAGTGTCAGTCGTTTGCTAGGATGTCGCAGTAAGTTATGCTTTATGGTTAATTAATAAGAATTGATTACGTGGTTACTGTGAGTGAATAATTTTCCAGTAAATATTACTTGTTTCATATTACATAGTTAAAATAATGCTACTCAATTAATTGCTTAAATGCAATTAGATTATAGTTTGATTGATTAGATATATAGAAATAAAAATGTGTTTATTATTGAGATGATGTATTTACATTGAAGGAGTTAAGATATTAAAATAATATAAAATTGAATAACTTAAATAAAAAAAATATTTTGAAAAAACAAAAGAAAAAATTATATTACTGATGAGAATTCTATTTTTTCCTATATTTGATATTGTTTTGTTTTCATTTCCAGGTGATTCGATGTCAGAATCGGAATCAGAACCGGTAATGAATGACACAAGTGCAATGTCATCAAATTGTGCTGAACGACATATTAAGAAAATTACAGAAGATTTGGAACGAATTGAGAAAGATTTAAATTCATTGCGTGAAAGTTTCGTGGAATATTATCAGAAGAAAATTGCGGATGAACTTAAAGAGGATGATTCATGTCGTATTCAATAATTCATTTTGATGATTTACCGATTTATGTAAATGCTGATGCATTTGAAGGTTAAGTGTTATCAGGAATTATTTCATCCATTCTCATTTAAACACATATTTATGGCAAAGTTTAAAATGAATAGAAAATTTTAAATAAAGAAAATATTTTGAAAATACATTTATGATGAAGATATTAAACAAGGACAAATGCTATTGTAAGGTTCTTTATTCATATCATCTTATCAAATATGTTAACGTTTAACCGTATATTATACAAATATGTACATATGAATATGTTAGTTTGAACAGTTGAGTTAGATTTATTTTGCAAGGAAAATTTACTTGTAAAACAAAATTTATACATGAAAAAAACCTGGTAGCATTAAACAAAGGGTTTAAAAAATATACATTACCTTAGAAACGATTGCAAAAAAAAGTTGATTACTAATTTGTGATTAGTAAAATTATGTGGAAATATTTTACTCATACATTTTAATATAAATCCTCTTCTACAAAACACTTTTTTAAATTTATTTCTAAATTTTTTTTTCTTCTGATATATTTTCTTTATTTGATCTTTAAAGTGCTGTTACACTCTATTGTTTTAATTAATTAATTAAGTAAATAATCATTGTGTTGTTGTGGTCTCAGCTAGAATAAATTTCAATGTTTGCAATGATGAAATTCGTATTCAGAAACCTTAGAAGCCATTTCAATTTTCAACTTTTCTCGTTCCATATCTTTCCAAACAAACTTTTTTTGCGCAACTACACATGTTTGCTTGTTTATTTCCTTTTTTCTTTTGTTTAATTAATTATTGTAATTGCTTAATTTGCTCACAGTGTTATCGAAGAGGAAAATGCATTTTCATCAAAATAATTTGCAGAACTTATTATTATCTCAGTATTTTTCACGTTTTCTTTTTTTTACTCGGGTATGTGTACTTTTATTTATATTAAAACTTAACATATTAAGAAAGTTTCAAATTTTGCATAAATAAAAAGATTTTTAAAAATTTATAACGCACTGCAAAGTTCTTTAACGTTCTTATCATTATTCTTTATATACTACAAAATAAATAAAGGAAAGGAAAAAAAGTACACAGGTTATGTAAAATCATTTTTTACAGGGAAAAATTAATGTTGAAGTTAATCTAAAAATATACGTTCTCCACTTTTTTTATAATTGAAAAAACGCGTAATTTTTTTTTGAATCAAAATTCATGGCATTGATGTTTTGTTATTGTCAATGATGATAATTTATATCATCATTATTATCGTTATCACTTATCATCGTTGAATTCTGTTTAATAAACATTTTCACTTATTTCTTTTTGATCACTGATATCCAAATATATAATATAAATTTATAAGTTGTAGAATTTAAGGCATTTTTTTTTGCGATTGTTTTTTTAAACGAGTAAAATTTGTACACCAATGTTGCTTGATGATGTAAATATAAGGAGTATCCCAGTTTTTAATTTAAGTTTTTAATTATAGAATAAATAATTACCAAAGTTTTGGTAATGGAAATGTTCGAACTATTTGAATTTTAAGAGGTCAAAGTTAGTTTCTTTTAAAATTAAGCAGTTAATAATTGGCTTAATTTTCAAAAAGATAATGAAAATGGTTCAACAAAGAAAATTGTTTCACATATCAATGAGTGATTGGGAAATGTTTGACCCTTTTTTTGCTTTCTTCTTAAGATAAAATTTTAAAACAATTAGCTCCCAGCAACAACTCTCAATAAGTGAAATGATTTTTAATTATTCAATTTGAAATATTCATTTTGAAATTTCCAATCTACCAATAATCGAAATTATAAAATTACGATGTATATGATTGAATCTTTTGAAATATGATTATTTATTATAGGTAGTTTAACAATCATCGGAAGAATTTCTTTTTTTTAATTTTAATTTTTATTCATAGTTTTTGACAAATTTTGTTTTAATAATTCCATATATTTTGTTTCATCTAACACAAACTATGTTCTAGCAAAGATAGAAAGTTTTGAAAAATTTTTTAATTTCAAAATTTCAATTTACATTTTAAAGACATGTAAATGATTTTTAACTTTTGTTCTTTTCCCATAAAATCATTGAGGCAATTCAAATTTACATGCACAAGGAGAAATATGCTTTTCTTGTAATTGTTTTCCTGAATTACTACTATTCTTTTCCTAATTTCTTCAACGATCACTTCCCATTTGTCACCCTTTTTTGATTTCTATTATCATTTTTTCTCGATAGGAAACGGAAGCTAGGAATATTTATTTCATATATGAAAATTACAGTTAATTATTATTTAGTCGTTCATTAATCCGTTTAAATCAATAACAGATGAAAATTAATATCAAATATTCTTCTTTCGGCAAATCAGTAAGGAGTGGTAGACTGTTGAATTTGTTATGCTTTTATCTTATCCATTTGGCGATT